AGGTTCCTATACTTACTTTCCCTTACTATAGGGGAGAGATTCTTCCTCTAAGGTACCCTCTAGTAATATATAGACTTGTTTTAGCGCTCTTAAACTCCTGCCTTATTTCTATTACTATCTCTATTACTTTTATTACTGCTGCTACTAGTAGGAGAGCCTTCCTCTAATGAGACCTACTTCCTAGAGTTGCTGTTAGATAACTCTTCTCTATTATTTAGGAGGGTTAAAACAATGGTCTTATTAACAAGAGCGCTCCTAGAGTACTCTTTATACTTCTTCTGCAGCAATTTACTATCTAGTACTTAGTCCCATATATTGTATGACTCCTTAGCAGAAGGGCAATCCTTAAGCAATGTTAAATCTAGAAGCAATCCTCTAATGCAGCTACTCTAGTTATTAATTTATAGAAGATTTAGATTGCTTTTAAAGAGAGAGAGAGAGAGAGAGAGGTTCTATAGAAGATTTAGATAGCTTTTATACAACTCTAAGGGCATAACTAGTAGATATTTTAGACAAGATTTTAATCAAGTAATATAATGGCGATATAACTACAAGATTCTAGCACTAAATTACTATATAGTTCTGTATACAAACTTAGTAGAAGAAGCTAAAAATTCTAACTTAGAGATACTACCTAGCCTGCTTAGCGCTACCCCCTTTTCTATTACCCCTGCAATGCCTCCCTTCTTTCTACCCCCCTTTCTATCTTAGATATCTACAGCTCTATCTACAGCTTTATCTGCAGCTTTATCTCTATAAGAATTAGGGGTCCTGGTTCTATAGGAAATCGCATATAAATTAAACCTTATAAGCTTACCTATCTAAGCGCTAGCAAAACTACTACTCTATGCTAGAATCTAGAGATATTCGCTACCTACTACTATTACTACTATTACTACTACTGCTAGTGTAACCTAAGATAACTTACAGTAACCTTACGGCGCTAAATCAACAATTACAGTGCAAAAACAGGGGGAGGCTAGTCGCCTAGCCGCTAGCGTTCTACTACTGCTGACCGGGCGTTACACTACCTAGGATAGGTTAACTGGTATGCCCTCTATTAGTTACTGGTATGCCCGTTAAACTGAGTCCACCCACACCCACACCCACACCCCAAAGCAGCTGAGCATGGGGGCCACGACTCTCCCCACGAAGGCGGTGCCGTGATGGTGAGAGCGGCCCACACCACCGGAGACTTGGCTCTCGCGGCGCGACCCGACAGTCTGGGTCCAGCATCAGCTTAGTCTGGTTTGGGAAGCGGGAATTGCGACGGGAGTTTTTCCGCAGCGCGAATCGCGTGGCTGATGACAAGCTGGGATCGTCGCCTCGTGGGTTAGCATCTGGCTTCGAGACTCTGTTGGATCCATCCGTTGTTGTCGTGTTGCCCATCCCAATTCCCATCGCACCATCTCCGACGCACGCCGTGCAGGAGGCCAGATCTGACCATGTACTACTCCGTACTCGTCGAGACACTCATCTCCGCAGAGTTTGAAATCTGAGTAGCGGTGCAGACTCGGTGACGCTGGGAGCCTCCGAATCACATCATCACGGATCGTTTCAGCAGCCCTGGCATGGCGGGATGAATCGCTGGGCACTCCGCCGCAACGCCTCGCTGCGTTATCAACCGAGGGTTGGGCGGCCGTTACGACGTTCCCCGAGACCCATCACCTGACTCTTGAAGTAACTCTTCGGTTGATTACGGTTACTTTGCCTGCATGTGCCTGGTCACGGGAAGAAATAGGTACTGAGGTCCGCATGGTATTCACGTTTTATGGTTTCTTGAGAATTAAGTGACCAGGTAGGCTTTCTCCTGCAGAAACTGCTAAGAAGCAGAGAGAAAGCCTGGATGTCGACATACCCGTTCCATCCCCCTTAATATTCCCTCGCCTCACGAAAGTAACCACACCTCCGCCACCATGGCTTTGTCTAATCATTATTTCATTTTGGACATGATACCGACGACCATGCAACCCTGGACTTCCGAGCGCAATTCCCCCTTTCCGCCTAGCGCTTACCCCCCCTTGGCGTATCCGGGGAACCCACTGCGAGCTTCCGCTTCCGCGCAGGATGCCCGATCTTGGAAATCTCCCCCTTCCTTTCAAACGGTGAGGTGGGTTCTGATTCATGAACCAGCCAGGCACTGACTGGCGCACGTTGCGATTCATCCAAGAAGAGCAGGATTCTTGCAACCAGGTCCTTACTCGCGTTTTGAAGGTTGGCGTGTCGGGGCTCGGGGGAGGTACCGGGTGGTTCGATTGGATAAAATGGGGTTACAACTTTCTACTCAGATTCCAAGGACTCTTACGGAGTACACAGTACCTCCTTGAGGATAGAGAGTGTGCGCTTGTCGCAGTTGCTCCCCGCCGCCTGCGCTTCACCATTCGCCGCGTGGTTGATGAGCGCGTCAAACAAGTCGCCCTGCTGAACAGAAGAACGAAGCGATAGTCTAGCTCCCGTTGGAGCGGACACGGGAATTCCCAGAGGGAAGGAGGTCGGGTCGCGCTGATGCAATCTCCCCCACCTAGTCTACCTACCTGCCATGTCGGAAGCGTTCGCGGGATTTATTTATCAGCATCATTGCGCCAATGTGGCCCATACCCCATGCCGTGATGATGACCAAAGAGGCGGTTGTTGGGTTGGTTGGTTGTTGGGTGGGGATGGTGGACTTGTTGGGACCTTTGTCGTTGGGTAGCCAGGTATCTACGAGACTACTGGACTGCTAGACTACTGGGTTTTGATGGCGGAACTTCTGGGGCATGGGGAGGATGGTGCGGTGGAAGGAGGAGGAGTGGTGGCATTCTTTCTCCTCGCCCTGATGAGCCTTTAGGGCCATGGCACGGGATTCGCAATGCAAAAACAACTGCAAAATGCGAAATGCAGGGTACGGGATCCATTCCCTCGAAACAATTCTCGAGGTTCTCGATCCGCACGCACGCAAGGCGGTTCCCGAGTGTCGTCCACATGGAACGAAAAGCCGTTATCTCGAATTAGGGTTCGGTTGGTGCCCCCCAACGCGTATCCCTTTGTTCCCAGCGTCGTGGGAGGAGGGACCGACAAATCTTCTTTGTTCTTTTTGGTTTTTTGCATTTTTGGTTTTGCAGAAGGATTGTCAAGTACGGAGTACCTTAATCTTGGTTCCTGAGGGGAGGGTTTCTTTGTTGGTTGGTGGACTTGGATATTATTTCTCGTGGAATTGTTGGTCTGCGAGCGGTAGAGGGGTGAGAGGCTGTGTACTTTGTAGATAGGGGTTGGAGGTCCACCAACAAGTACTCGAGGTTTACCTCCTCAGCTCGTTGTAGGAAGATAGACATGTACGGAGGAGAGAGTACACTATATACAATACACAAAAGGCATACACGTTGTTCTAGCTGTCGGGTTGGGTACCTGTAGTGGTGAAAAATGTACAGATTACATGGGCATATCCTAGCCAACTACTGTCTACCCTACACGCTCTATAGAATCTCCCATCCTACGAACGAACGTGATGCTCAGTCATACTAGGCCTTTGCCAGTTAGGATGCTCACCCGTTGTTCGTTGTCCGGACGGTGGTTCGTAACTCGGTACGCGGTACGCGGTTTCTCGTTCGACTACTAGACTGAGACTGAGACTGACTTTGTATGTATTTTCGTCCGCTGTTACAGTGGGGTATGCTATCGAACGACCGACAAGGACGGCGGAGTGCGACTTTCTGTGTTAACTCCTCGCTCGATGCTGTATAAGTTTAAGGAATTGCTTTGGGTGAACTGGGTGGGACACTCTCACTACTAGGGTAACAGCTCGGTGCGTACTCCGTACGGTAGTCAATACACAGGACACAGTACACAGTATCACTACTATCTATCAGTACCTCGCAACGACATGCCAAGCCATCGATGGCATCGACTCCTCGAAACGGGGTTTTCTACATGGTAGACTGGTTTCCAGCGTCTTCCTCTCGTGAAGAATAATAGGTTGGTCAACCGGTCAGCGCCGAAACTTGTCAGGAAGAGACCGAGTCCGCTTCCATCAAGGTACTCCACTCTTGCTACCTTCCAGAAGCAGAGACCATGCTCCGTCGTAGGTCTGGGATGCACTCTTGGGATGCGCGCGCGTCCCGGGAGTACGGGATCGTGCTGACGATGATTGTGCGCTGGATGGGATCCGGTGCAGGGCACACAAACACACGCACCACACCACACCACACCACACATAGGTAGGGCTTCACCGACTGATGGGTATGGATTCCTGGGTAGCGTTTGGACAGGAGTCATGCGTGATTGATTGATTGATAGATGGATGGATTACTGTGGTTATCACGGTCCTGGGCACCGAGTACGGAGGTCTCGACACCACCACCACCCGGAGATATTTGCTTCGATGGGCTGAGCGTCTCCTTCTTCTTCTCGCTTTACCTCGAATGCCGTATGACGCCGCTATCAGGACGTGGATCGGACGGTCCGATGGGGGGGTGTTTCGATGTAGGCTGCCTTCTGCGCTTATCTCCTAATACCAGTCTACCCTAGAATACGGAGTACTCGTCGGCAGTTATGAGGGTGCATGATCTCGTCATACACTGACCGCACACAGAGGGAGAGTTCGCATATCGGCTATCCACCCGAAGCACCGCCTGCAGCCATTCTCACGAGCCGAACAGGTGCCCATGCCGCATCCTCGGTGAGCCGGTTCGGCAGGAGCGCGCGGCCGTGTTGAATGAGCTGCGCCCGCTTCCGAAGCCGAGTGGGTTTCCGACTGGATAAATGCGTTTGTACTGTAAAACACTATGTACTATAGTATAACATCCAGGAGTTAATAATACACAGTAATGGACTAAGAGGCATCACGACTCGCTCGACAAGACCAACATGTTGGAATCTTTTCGTTGGGTTGGGTGGAGCGATTCCCAGCAATTATCGCCATCCTGCATGAAGCATGAATGGTGAACTGTTGCGACCTGCAGAATAACGTTTGAACGAAGACGACTCGATACCGTACGACTTCCCTCTCCATTGTCCGCCTTTCTCATGACCACAGCCAACGATGATGTCCCGAGAGCTACTCCGTACCTCCACTACAAGTACGCTACCTATATCAAAATCTACTAAGATCCCCCAAGCCCACCCCTCCGCACTGACTGCCAAACTGGTTCATGCTCACCTCCGCCTCACCTCCGCAAACCAACCCAGTCCGCCGTTTCCCCTCGAGGACAGCCTCTCCGTGTCCTCCGGTCCCTTTTTTACCCCACGTTCCCCGATCACGTTCGTCGCGAGCTGCTGGGGGACCATGCATGGCTCTTCGTTTCTCTTACATATATCAGCAGCAGCCGCAGTGCAGTCTATCAGCCTCGCCCCCGACCTTGTCGGAGGAGTTGTGGCGATGAAGACCGGAAAGCTCGACCTATCACACATGCCGTCTTGTCAGGACAAAGACGAGGGAGGAATATTAGCTACCTACAGCCTCAGGAAGGAAGGCGTATTCCAATCCTATCAGATAACTCTCGCGCTTACGCTGCTTACGCAGCTTACGGGCGGCGGCGGCATCGGGGCGACGGGCGACGGCACTTGCACTGAACGGTGAGCGCGGCGCGAGGAGTAGGGTACATTACCTAGTGAGATTGATCAGATGGACCTGCCCCAGCCTCGTACCGTTCCCTTCCCGCCCCCGAATCCCAACGGGTCTGTTGCCTTTCCTTCCCCAGAACCCCCGGCCCCCAATCGCAGAATGGCGAATATTCGACTGGTTGTTGCTGACGGGCTTCCTGCGGTCCTGTGACTACATACATACTGTGGTCCTGTACTGCGTTTTGTGCGACCTTGGGGGATGGGACGACCGGTGCTGGAGGACTGTTTTTCCACGCGAGGTCCAGCTTCGGCTGACGGGGATGGGATGGGATGGGGACGGGGGAGGCGAGGGGTGTCGTGGGAAGAAGAGGGGGATGGAGGTCACATGGTTCTGGGTGAATGTACACAGCTACACAGGGAACGTTCGTATGCAAGTTGCGTCCCCCTCTGCTCTGCCTTGCCAATTGGCTCTGCCCCTATGTACTGACTTCCAGTCCTCCACGTTTCCGCAGTTCCCACCTGCACCTAAAAGCCCGCTGCTTCTCGAAAGTCAAAACGTGCCTCTCGCATCGCGCGTGTTTGCTGCATGGGTTATGGCAGCACTGCGTGTCTGCGAACAGGGCTGGAAACGTCGATCACCCAACCGTGAGGGTCCGCGACTCGGGTCTCCAAGCTTCTTTGTGGGGGGCTGGGGACTGTATTAACGTGCTAATTGTCGGGTCCTGAGTATGGACTGGACTCAACCCGTTGAGTCGAGATGTAGACAGTAAGTACGGAGGACTATGTATGTATGAACATATTAACCTACCGTGTCGAGGTGGGGCCATGCCACGCGGGCACATGCATTGCTATGGCAGTAATTACGGAGGTACCTGGCGAGTAGGTGCTTACTTACAGTACACGTATCCTGCTACTAGGATGCCTGGTTCCTCCCCTCTTCTAGGGTACCGTTGAACGTCTACCACGATGTACACAGTAAGCACACACACCTCTCACAGATGCATATCCAAACTTTGTACATCCTGCAAACACACGTTCGAGAATCGACACTTTCCGAGAAATAACACTGACGTTTTGTCCGAGTGGGCGTGGTGTTCCGAATTCGGCGGGAAAAAATGGTGATGATGTTTTCTTAATGACGGGGTTTTATGTCCATTTGGCGAATGTTATTGGCTGGGTTAAAAGTTCAACTTAATGCATGCTTGGATACGGACGGGACGCGGGACGCGGTTACGCGGGACCCGTATGCGTGGAAGGCTGTGCGGAAGGTCTGGGTTATGCTGCGGTGCACGACTCAAGCCTCATGAGTGGATTCGAGACTGGTATCGAGAGCAGGAGACGTACGGACCTGCCGGTTGCACACTGCAGACGGGACACGGCTGACGTTGAATGGTTGTTCGGAGACGGATGCGGATGCCCCGTGGGGCGTTCTTGCAATAGGTATGTAGGTATCGATCTGATTGTGCGGGTTGAACTAGGTACCTGGACTTATGAGTCGATTGGATGTGCTACGCCGAGAGACGCTGGAGATGGGGAGGTGATTTGAGCTTATGCTCACATTGGCGGGGTGACTCCTTGCTTTGGGACCCGATGGAGGAGGACGTGGATGCTGAGTTCGGATGGAGGTAGGGTAGGGAGGAAGTGCGGTCCGGACTAGGGAGCGAAGAGAAGTATATCTCCCCATTTCCGGATCGAGCTTGAAGTAGAAATCCGAGTGTGAAAACTGAGGTAGACGGCAGCATTTTACTAAGAAACAATGGCTGGGATTGCTGGCAGTTTGGCCTTACTCCAGGGTTTACTCAGTCGTCGGGGTCGCCGTGTTTGGTTCTGAGGCCTTGGATACAAGCTTGGTACCAATGTTATCTTCGTTGATCCAGACTAATGGTTCGGAGTGGTGATGTGGTGGCAGGGACGCAAGGACTTACACATCCTTTGCTCCCGTGAGTCGATGTAGAGTTTGGCCGAGTGGAGTGAGCGTGTGGATCAAGTGCGTGAAAAGGGGGATTAAACTTATCTTCTACCAAGTATATCAAGACTCTATATTCCATCATAGATAGCATTACCTGGCAATATTCCAGTTCTTACTCGCTCCGGAGTACTAGACTTGTCTGTCTTCATCAGTTCCAGAACGTAGGAGATATTAAGAACATATCGACACTATTCATTGTCCCTACGCCTCGTTCGTCCTTCGTCGTGATGATTGATATAGGATTCAGTTGGTTGACTGCTTTGAATGCATACTTACAGTTTGAAGTACTATTTTGTAATAGGCTGTTGACCTTGCTCCTCTGCTGTCGTCGTCGTAGTTATACAGTACTAGATAATTACCTATGTATGATGTGTGGTGTAAGCAGGCCCTTGATCTCCAGACCCCTTGCCAAATTGCTTAAACAACACATTACCTGTAAACCCAACGAGATAAGCGCTATCCAAGCGCTAAAGGGGAAGAATAGGGGCGTTGAAGCTCAAACCAGATCTCCGAACACCAAGTCTTACCTTACTCTAACCCTCCTTGCACGAAGTCATATAGCTTCTCCGGCAAACGGTTTTAACTTCCTCTGCTTTCACAGACAACTGGCGAGGACTATCGCATGATTGGCTATCAGTTACATGCGCCTTCACCGTCTTCCTTTCTTGTGGTAGGCCTTGTGCGGTGCGCTAATATGCTGTCTACTGTTTTTGTTATGGGGATTACCTTCCAGTACAATGCTCCGTTTGATTAAAGTCGAAAAGAATGGAGATGAAATGAGGGTGAAGAAGTGGGATAGTACCGAGCTGGGTCTACATGACTAGCAACTTCCACAGGCCCAGCGGGCTATAAACAGCCAAAGCAACCGTTACGTGCCTGCCCTGCTAAAAAAAATTGGCTTAGCAACATCCACCCACCTAGTCCGTTGATGTCGCATCAAGACACAGATATCGAAACGCTGTCATGAGCGTCAGGAATGAGGAACGAAGTTCACGGGCATTAGGAGCTCTAAAAGAATTTTAGAGGGCTGGGGTAGATGTTGGACTCTGCAGTTCAAAGCGTGAAGTGTACTGGCCTCCGTAGAACTCCAAAACTCCCTTACTCAAATCAGCGCAAAGCACAAACTTAAAGGTCTCCCGCCCTACCCAGAACTCACAGACTCCGGTAACCCTTATTGAGAACACACCGATGACACCGGTTAAAGCCTCACCAAGCGTCGCAAAACGCCGTAGACGCTCCCCATCCAGCGTGTCACAACCATGGCACCCCATATTCTCCCGCCCTGGACTCCATCGACAATTCCAATTCACCGTCTTCGCCCTCGCGGCCCTCAAACCCATCGTTCTCCATCTGTTGCATGAAATCCAGATGTCTATACGGACATCGTTTTGGGTCGATGCGGTGCGCAAGAATGACCGGCGCCTTTAGATCCCGTTCGACCCTCCAGGCCAGCGGAGTGGTTGGCTTCAAGCGTTCCAACAATGCGACCGCATCATGGTATAAAGAATCCCATTCTTCGACGGGCCAGTCTGTGAAATGGTTTCGCTTTTGGCGCAGGATGCCCATTGTGAGAATTACGCTGCCGAGGGAAGATGCCATGTGATATCCGAGAAGCTCGGGTTTGTCCATTGTATCCAGGCAAGTCGTGGTGGTAAGGATAATGAGGCGGCATGCAGAATCGACGTCGCCAACAGTGTGCGCACTATAGGAAAAAAAGAGGATTCTGTGGCGCGAAAAAAAGAGGCGAAAATTGTTGAGGGACAGCAAGTCCAGCGCCAGGCGTATCATTTTGCGCAGCGTAGTACTGCCGCCACTCCGATACTTCTCGAGTTGTTCTTCGGCGCCCCTATTGGCGCAATCTAGATACATCATCTTTGCACTAACCGCAACGGTTTCATGCGAGTTGAGGAAGGATCGCTTGTCCCAGAGAGCGCTGGCTTTCTTTGCGTATTTGATCATCCACTCTAGGTGTAGGCTACTCTGTTTGAGAAGAACTGTCAGTGCCTATGAGACCAGAGAAACCCTCGGGATGAGGGCTTACTTCGTCCTTGATGTCGACCTTGGGCCACTCAACATCGATGTCAGAATCATGAATGCCGTAGGGCCGACCACAGCTCAAGGCGACTCGACGATCAACGTAGTACAACGTCCAGAAAATCCGTTTGGCCAACTCACTGTCCGGGCCGAACAGGCGTCCCCAACGCTTCTTGTCGTGCAAGCCCATCCGGAAGCACGTCCTGCACGCAAGTCCGATAGTGTTGTATGACAAGTTGGGCTTGTCTATGTAGGTAAGATAAATAGCCTACGAAGTATCAGCGCTTGATATGAGGGAAAAAGACAAAGAGCGGGGCAACGGCGGTGTCGAGGGCGACGCTTGTGAAATCACGATTATAGCCTACCTTGAGAATCAGATATTGAATAAAAACCAAGCCACCAGAGCTATGCAATACTTCTTGCCCAATCAAAGTCTCCGCTGTTTGGTACCAATACCAACCAGGCATCGTCTCATTTGGAGAGTTACTCTCTGAGACATCGACTAGGGCGAACATTACATAGTGCAGAGCTAGAAGCAATCTCTTGTCCTTCTGAATGGGTAATGATGAGAGCATACAGCCGCCCTGCTCCCGGAAAGGAACCGGGTCAATACAGGGATAGAAGGGGTAAACCTGTTCAAAAAAGTGATCCAGATACCTGCGATACTCGGTCGGTACAGTAAACGGGACCTCTACGCTGATAGAGTCTTTGATTACAGCGATAGAGTGAGATGCCGATGTAGATTGGTGATCTTGCAATTGGTGCTGCTCGAGTCGATACGTTGGCTGCGCGCGCACTGGTGGCGGCAAGTTCGGGTTGATGGCGTCCTCATGAACGTGGTACTCACCCATGGGAGGTGCTTCTCGCTCTGTGCTTCCCCGAGGCGTGATCACTATTCCGCGCTCTCGGAGCAAAGCCTCCATCATCCCTTCCATTCTTGCCATTCGCGCGTCCATTGATGTGCCGAAGCTGCTGGCATCGCTGGCTCGCCGTGGCATGGGATCCGAGCGCGGAAGTATATTTCTCGTGGTTCCGTTGCTGGAAAGTCCATTCCCTGCGATAGAAGATGATGGTTGCGGGAGGGATGGTCGGCTGAGATTTTGCAGAGCTTCCGCAGCGGTTTGGTCTTCGGAGTAGAAGCATCGTCGACCGTTATCCATACACCGTTGACACGGGTTGTCGCCTGAGCACTGTAGACACGGTTAGGCAAATCGATATTGCGCCGTTCTTGCTGGCCAGTTACCTTGAGCTTCGATCTGCGGCACGCAACACTGTTCAGAGTGAGAAGGCCGAAACGTTCCGAAGCAAACAACAGCGCGGACGCGACTCACCATGCCTTGGATGCATATTTTGCGCGAACCTTCTTGCGCTTGGGTGACCCCGGAGGCTCTTCCTCAAAGCCGCAGCTCGAAGGGGCCTCGTTCAACTCCATGGTGGGCGATGTCTTGGTGAAGGCTGGAGTGATTGACGTCTTAAACGTTCCGCCGTCGGAACCAGCCAGAGTGCGCTAAGCCATTCCTGGACAGCTTGAAATGACCCGATACGGACTAGCGCGAACTCTGGTCCTCCTCACTCCACCTTTCGAGCTGGGCTCCATTGTCTGTCTCCTTGCCTGCTAGCTGAACAAGTGTCGGAACTTCTTACACTCTCCCCACACTTCCCCGCACTTCCCGGCTCTTAGTGGCTTCCCTTGATACTTGACCCTTCACACGCTTGGCCAAATCGTCAATACGGGAAGGGCTTCAGTCAGCCTATGAGCCGCCCACATTTGAACACATCGCTAGTACAGTTGTCCATACAAGTTCTCTCTGTTCGTCAACCCAGCTTGCGGACCCAGACCCGAAAGCTATCCTGTCGTTGTCCACCATCAGGGACACATTCACTTGATCAAGCAAGCTCCCACTCCAGATCGTATCCATCACTTCAGCATCCCTTTGTGCACGTTCCTCACGTTGCTGTGCACTTACGATAAATGAAACATGCCAGCATGTCTAAAAAGGACCTTAGGCCATCAAGCCCTCCATCATCTGGCGTAATTCCCCGGATCATCATCCATGGCGGCGCAGGCAATATTACCCGCACAACCCTATCCAGGGAACGCTATGACCAATATCAAACATCTCTCCGCAGCATTCTACGGTCGTCTGCTGAACATTTATCCCAGCCCTCCGCCACAGCGCTCGACGTGGCCACCTATGCCGTCACGCTTTTTGAAGATGATCCCCTCTACAACGCGGGTAAAGGCGCTGTATTCACGCGTGCTGGCGCAATCGAGCTTGAGAGCAGCGTCATGGTGTCGAACGGCTACAAGAAGAGAGGTGTAGGTTGCATGATGCTTTCGCACGTGAAGAATCCGATCAAATTGGCGAGGGAGTTGTTAGTCAGAGGTGAAGAAGTACGAGGCGGTGGGGCCCAGGATCATTGCCAGTATGCTGGGAAGTGGTTGGAAGAGTTAGCGAGGGAGTGGGGATTGGAAATGTGCGATCCGGAGTACTTTTGGACGAGAGAGAGATGGGAGGAACATAAGAGGGGGTTGCAGAAAGGGAGGGGGAAGGTATGCCCACTCCACCCTCTGTCTCTTTCGGAAGAGAGAGAAGAGGTGGAGGAAAAGAAGGGGGATCCTGACATTGAAAAGCTGACTAAACGTTATACTCCACTGGGTACTGTCGGCGCAGTTGTGCTGGACAGCTTCGGGAATATATGCGTGGCCACTTCCACCGGAGGTCTGACAAACAAGGTTCCCGGTCGAATCGGAGACACCCCAACTATAGGCGCCGGATTCTGGGCTGAGGAATGGTTTGCAGAGGCCTTACCAACGAGGCGGCACATGGAAGATCAACCCTCGCAACGGTTTCTACCACTACAGAGAACCTCTCACCGCGATGTATGCAATTTGGTCGACGACTATGTTCCGTCCTTAAGCGCTCCACCTATGTCGTCGACGTCACATATCAGTGAAGGAAAGTATGAGAAACCCTACTCAACTCGCCATGCTGTAGGAATGTCGGGTTCTGGGAATGGCGACACATTCATTCGCATGGCTGCATCACGCACCGTTGCTGCTAAATCTCGTTTCACCCCTACCTCTTTGGCCGACGCTGTAACCTGGCTGAGTGGGCCTGGGGGCGAGCTACAGAAATCCGCAGGTGACAGATGGGGGCATACACACGAAGGAGTGGGGGGAATTATTGCTATCGAGCTCGTGGGTGAGAAGGGTACGGTAATATGCGATTACAACTGTGGAGGCTTCTTCCGAGCTTGGACTGAGGAAGATGGGACGGAGCGGAGCTTGATTTTCAGGGAAGATGATTACAACAGTGGACCGAAGTGATGTGCGATTCGCTCATGTACGGGTCTGCGCTTGCCAATATCATGGGGAGCCCTCTGTCTCTGATCCCCTCAGAGGCCTGCTAAAGCCATGTCTACTTTCCGAGTATCTTTCCGATGTATTCTGCAAGCGCCAGGATCTTCTCCTCCTGCAACCTCCTACCGACCAACTGGACGCCAACATGGGCACCGTCATAGATATCTGGATCATCTGTCTCCGGTCAGCTCTGAATATTCAGGAGCAGAAAGGGCATGAACTCACAAAGCTCTTGTACCGTCTTATCGAGTCCATTAATTGGCTGATACCCATCGTCTGCTACATCAACGGTCTTGTCCACGTTCGTGACAGGCAAAGCCACGCTCGTATAATCCAGCACGTTCACGAAACCGGTATACCCATAGTACAAGTAACCTTTGGGCCGTGCCGCCGGGAACGGAGCCACGGGGCATATCAATGCGTCTACAGGGCGTCCCGTTGTCGTCAACTTCACGGTACTATTCCAGTAGTCCGTGTAATTCTTCCTCAGCTGGCGGAGTCGCACATTCGTCGCCGCAATCTCGCTCGCTGAAAATTCTTTTCCTGGTTGGGCGAAGAACGCCACCTGGTCGGAAGGTTTCTCGCCGGAAAGGGAGAAGGCGCCTCTGATATCTGCCCCGCCGTCGAAGGTGAAGGCCTCCATAATGCCGTCGACGAGGTCTTTGTGGCTCGGAGGTGTCCAATCAATGACCTCGTGGCCTTGGCTCTGAAGGGCGCTGACGACGATGTGCAAGGCGCGGCGGACAGGAGGTTGCGGGCTGACGTGGCCGTCGCTCCAGAGGATACCAAACGATAGCTTCCCAACTTTGCTTGCATCCCCGATTGCGCCTGTCAACTCCAGGATCTCCCTCTCTTGCTCGTATCGCCATGGCAGCTCATGCACCAAAGGATCATGCAGCCACGGCTTCTGCGCTAGAATCGCCTTTGTGATCAGACGTAGCGACGCCACGCTCGTAGCCATAGGGCCCACGACCGAGAGTACGGAGTTTTGCCCATCCATGGAGTTCGCCATACCCTCATATGGCAGCCGTCCCGTCGAAGGTCGCAACCCATACAATCCATTGAAAGAACTCGGAGCCCTGATTGAGGCCCCAATGTCAGTTCCCAAACCCACCGGCGAGCCTCTCAATCCTATTAACGCGCCCTCACCACCCGACGAACCTCCAGCGGCCAAGTTTCTGTTTTTCGGATTCCAGGTATATCCGATGATGTTATTGATAGTCTCACCAGCCATGAGCGTATGCGGCACCGCAGTTTTGCAGTACAGAATTGCACCTGAAGCACGCAATTCGCGGACCATTTCGCTTTCGAACCGCTTTTCCTTGCCGGTTCCGGTGCGCCCTTCAAAGGTGCCGATCCACCCCACATAGCCCATAGTGGTTTCAACGCCTCTGACGTGGAATTGGTCTTTCAGGCTGACCGGGAGGCCATGCAGCGGACCGAGGGGCTTTTTGTGTTGGGAAAAATAGGCATCTGCCGCTTTAGCATCGTTGATGGCGGCATCGAAGAAAATCTCATGGAGGCAGTTTGTCTGGGGTATTCTGTTAGCTCCCAACGTATCGTTCGAGATGCTCGGAGTAGTACCAATTGATGGGCCAAAGCCGCTCTATGGCAAAAAGCACGTGTTACTTCTTCGGCGCTCCATCGACCAGAGACAGTATACCTGACTATCTCATCTGCTGTCGTCTCTGTGATTTCTATCTCCCTTTTCGTGAGGAATTGCTGAATGAAGTTTCCAGTTACATCGACCTGTTCATCGTTCGGCGGATTTCGGATACGCCATTCTTGAGGTATAGCTGCGAGGATCGCTTCGCGCTTCTCTTTCGCACGTTCTTCCCAGGTCTGAGCCATGGTTGGTGTTTGAGTGAGAAGATGGCGGGACTATGTCTCAATTGAAACCCTAAAGGTAGCGTGTCAGATTCTGCTGTGCAATGGGTATGTACCTAGGTTCTCTCTGTGCGAGACCCCACACTCAAGGGACGCGGGCGGGGGCGGACTTATACTGGGGAGTCAGAGCCACTCCTGGCGCGATCATGCATAGGCAGGGAGTCATTTTGGAAAGGCGCGAGCATCGAGCCCTTGATTAATAATCACACAAGGGGGAGCACTTGCACGTCTTGTGGGTTCTCCTGAACTTCACCGAACTCTATACTCATATGACGACGCACTCCAAGTTCAGAAAGATCACAATTGCATACCAGGTCTATGGAACTTCTTCCGGTCTATAAGGGTTGAGAGAGGCTGTTAGGTTGTTCACGTGCCCAGATCCCGTTGCAGATGGAACAATGTCGGTCCCCGACGCATCCAGGTTCCGAAAACCGTAAGACGACTCGTAAACTCGGAATTCCCGTAACGGGAAGATACGGTATGACCGTTTTCAACATGGGAATCTTCTAATTGTTTCACGCTTCTCCTAGCGGCAACTGAATTATTAATACTCTCTTTAGCATCGGCGGTAGAATGGGTAGTAGAATCTCACAAATATGGAATGACTGCATTGACTGCAATAGGTAGGGTACATGGGTTGTACTTGTACTGTGTAATGAAGGTAGGCAAGTTGCAAACAAGCTCGAACGTTGAATGTCCCTCAGGCTAGGTTCCAAATATCGCCTAGCTGCTCAGCCACAGGACGCGAGTACCCACGTCATCTTCCGAACGACTTTCCCTCCATCTCCAGAACCCGCCGTCTCTATATACCTCCGATCAAAGCGCGTATCTGAATTCACCTCCTCAACATCGCGCAACATGCCTCTGGGCCTCAATAACCCGCTGCCCTCCTCCATGAGGAGTGAGTATACCCACATTGACCTTTGCAAAGTCTCCTGTCTATTATAGCCTCACATCTTACTGACAACTCAACCAGGCGAGTGTATCAAGACTGGTAAAATCCTAGCATCATTCATAGACCCACGGCAAGCATTTGGGCCCGATAAAGTCATCCCTCCGCATATTCTCGCCAACGCAAAGGTGTGTCATTACCTCAACCAGCTGCGACGGTCACCTCTCAAAACCCCGCAGTCGCATGGCTGCTCGCCCATTCAGTCACCAATACTTGAAACATTTCGAAAGCGTACTAACAGTTAAACTCAGGGCCTCGCGATCCTCACAGTCTTCAAAGCCGGATTCCTCGGTACGGCGCGCTTCGGTTCTGGCGTCGTCGTTGCTCGCCTCCCGGACGGTTCTTGGTCTGCTCCCTCCGCCATCGGGACTATAGGCGGCGGCTTTGGTGGTCAGATTGGATTCGAGCTCACAGACTTTGTCTTCATCCTCAATGACTCGAGCGCCGTAAAGACCTTTGCCCAAGCAGGCTCTCTCACACTTGGAGGAAATGTGTCCATCGCTGCGGGACCCGTCGGACGAAATGCGGAAGCGGCAGGAGCAGCAAGTTTAAAGAGTGTAGCCGGCATATTCAGCTACAGCAAGACGAAGGGACTCTTCGCTGGTGTGAGCTTGGAAGGAAGCGGAATCATAGAGCGCAGAGATGCGAATGAGAAGTTGTACGGACGGAGATGGACTGCGCGGGAGCTCCTGAGCGGCGCGGTTCCCGTACCGCCCGCTGCGGAACCGCTAATGCGGGTGCTCAACTCGAGAGTGTTTGCGGGCGTGGCAGGGGCTGGCGGCGCCCCTGATGCCATGTATAACGATATCCCCGTCTATGATGACCGTCATGAAGATGTGGTCTGGCAAGGTCGGACGGGCTCGGCCTACGGGGAGGGTGTGAGGACGAACCGGACTGGAGGGACCGGTATAGGGAACGACGACGACTATGTCTACCGCGATAGACCGCAAAGAGCTAGCACCTGGCAGGATGACGTGTATGACCGCCAACCCAGTTCTGCTGGCATTAATCGCTCTTTCTCCACTCGCACCCCCAACGACACGTTCGATGGTTTCCAGTCACGAACACGCGCGTCAACATTTGATGACAACTACTCGTATACCGATAAACCGAAACCTAGCAGACCTACGGCTCCAAAGCCTGTCTTTGGTGCGAAGAAGGCAAGCCTGGGACCCGATCAGGCCATTGCGAAGTTCACTTTCGAGCCGGATCAGCCGGGTGACCTTGGCTTCAAGAAAGGCGAGGTTATTACTATTATCAAGCGAACGGACAATGATACTGATTGGTGGACGGGGAGGATAGGTGACCGTGAGGGGATCTTCCCAAGGTTCGTTTGACGCGCATCTCCGAGTATATGCTGCTACATGAGAGCACGACCGATATGCTGACCTTTTTCTAAGCAACTACGTGGAAACCATCTAAAGCACAGCTCTGGATATCCCGCTCAGGACTCACCCCATTCGTCGATAAACTTCCTTTCCTTGACTTCTTTCACACTACTTCCGATTCGATACCTTCTAGACTGTTATACAGCGACACACTTTGGGGATATCATTAGGGCGCCAGACTGACGATCGAGATGAGTTATGAAAGAATGCTAGCTTCCTTCAACATCAGGAGCGTGACTGTAGGCATCGATGCCTCGCATAGCATGGCGTTCGGAGCTTATTTTCGCACATTCGCCTTCTCGCTGGTTTCTGGGGTCATGACGGTGCACCTTTTCAAATAGCCTTTCTCAAGAAAGCTTTTCTTGTTTTTCAAATTTACGTCTACCATTTTTCGCTCCCAAGCAGACAGGTGCACCTAAGGATTGACGATGTGTACGTTGTAGAATCATGAGGACTCCAGACGGTATCATAATCGGAATGCGAACCAGACGCCTCCTCCGAAAGCCGCCTCTAGTGAGCCTTGGAGAAGCACCATCTCGGTGATGTGTATGTTTCTCCGTGTTGAATGTAGAAGGAAATCCGATGCTTTGCCGTCATTGCAGCACCACGAGGCTGTTGGGCACGTCTCATATATTGCCTACAATTTATATCTGAGCATCCCTGTTAAACCAAGCATTCCGAATACAAGAAAGACCACCAATCACCATCAGCCCACGTTGGCTTCTGCTCAACTTCAGGCCAAAAAATTGAAAGAGCAAATTGTTATGACACTTCTTATGGTCTAGTGTCTCTCTATGTCTCGGCGGGTCGAGGGCGGAGTGCTCTATTGCCATGCAGCCAACGGAGTGCAAACGTGGAGCCGAGATCGTGACCACGGTTTTGGGATTCTGGGGAAAAGGAAGCTTGGAATATAAGAAGGGGAGAACGACATTGGGTTTGGGATCAGGCAGCAACTGTGCTTAAGACAAGATGAAGCAGCTCTCCGCGCTTTTGGCGCTTGTGCCACTCGTTGCCGGACATGGCTTCGTGCAGAATGCAACCATCGGTGGGAAGGAGTATGATGTATGTTACAACTCGATTGCGTCCTGGTTAGACCAGACAGGCCTAATGCTAATACCATCACTCTAGTTCTACCATGCAAGTCTTCCATGACTTCTGCTTCCATTCTCCCCTCTAACTTGACCGCCAGCCCTACCAAGATCCTTATATGAACCCCAAACCCGGCCGCATCTCCCGAGAAATTCAAGGCAACGGGCCCGTCCAAGACGTCACGCTTCCCGACCTCGAATGCGGCGGCTGGACTGCCGGCGGTATCTCAGGCTCCAAGCCCGCCGCCCTCCACGCCCCCGCCCAAGCTGGCTCCAAGGTGAATCTGAGGTGGACGCTGTGGCCTGAGTCACACCAGGGTCCAGTTATCACATACATGGCAAGATGTCCTGATTCCGGTAGGTCGTCTTCTCCTCCTTTTTCAGTGAGCCACATCACGCTGACATGGCGCAGGCTGCCAGAACTACCAAACCAACGGCGCACCGGTATGGTTTAAGGTCGCCGAAGATGGACTCCACAGCACGGATCCGGACTGGCTGAAGAATGTCTGGGGAGACACTGTGCTGATGACGGCGCCCAACAAGGGCATCGACTACACGATCCCGGAGTGTCTTGCGCCGGGTTACTATCTTGTGAGGCATGAGATTATCGCGCTGCATGGTGCGTGGAATGTTTCGGGGGCGCAGTTCTATCCTGGGTATGTCTTCGAAAGACGTGTGGAGTGTGGAGTCTATGAGGGGAGACGCCCGTGAAAAGCTAACAATGTACCAGATGCCATCAATTGCAGGTTAGCGGATCTGGGACAACGGTCGTCAAGGAGGGCCTGGTGAGCTTCCCGGGGGCTTACAAGGCGGATGACCCAGGCATTCTGTACTCTCAGTACAATCAGCTGCCCTATACGATCCCTGGGCCGAAGGTGTTCAAGTGTTAGGCAGTCTGCCGATATCAATCATGCAGGCAAGCAAAACAAATGCTAGCGGTTGCAATTTATCCATGACGCGAGTCCAATAGGCTTTGGGTGTTTGTGAGTCTCGAGTCGTATGTTGTGGTGTAGGTGACGCCTTCCTTGAGGTCCTCGACCGGCAGACGTGACTGCCGTTTTGGGAAACCCTCAACTTCCTCTCCTCTAGGGCTTTCTCAGACCCCTCTTCACCTTCACCCTCAACTTTCACCCTCAGTTGCACAACTGGTAAGTCCTTTCGCTAGCCGTCCCCTACAACTTTGTACCTACAACCTGCTGCAACCTGCCACAGCAGAACACTCACGTCACAAACGCATCTTCCCTAACAGACAGCTTCTCGAACGAAAACCACCATGCCAGAAAAGGCCGCCGTGACTGTATCTGACAAGCGGGACCCCGAGGTCGAGGGACGCGGCGAGTCCAGCGGCAATTGGTTTAGTCGACGCCTGCGGAAGCCCAGCGCAAAGCAAGGTAGAGAAGCGGAGGGGATATGCGTGAGGACCGAGATTGAACTGGAACGACCAAAGACGGCTCCCTCTACTGGCACAAAGGACTGGGCGTATGCGACTACTGATGTGCCGCCATTGCCTCGTCCGCTCGGCAAGCCTCCTCCTCTACCACGACCGGAATCAGGAGTGATCCGAGACGTCAATGCGTGGTTGGATGCCAGCACCATCCAGCCTGCTCCTCGCATCATGGGTGGCATCCCATACTGGAGGGAAGGCGGGTTGGTTCACACCGTCCCACGCTCTGATGTCCGTTATGCCTTTGACATTCGACCGGCGAGGCCTACAACTCACGGTCAACAGTTCAAATCCTTCTGTCGCCGTGCCGGAAAGATGCAGGTACGCATGCCAACGCTTCCTCGATCTCAGCGCAATACACTGGCACAACGCAAGCAGCTTAACCGTGGCTCGAACACCGTCCCGTCTTTGCCGCCTCTACCACCCTCGCCGGTCGAAGCCAAGCCCAAGATCCCCGAGCAAAAGCGTCCCTTTCGATCCAAGTCCTTGATGGAGTTGAAGAAGTTGTTCACGCCAGAGACAAGCCCTGATCACGGCGGCAGTACGCTGAAGATGCAGGTCAAGCCACGCGACCAGAATCCTGCTCCTGCGCCCCAGATGAGAAGCTCCGCCAGTTCCAGGTTCGACAACCAAGAGGCACTTATGGAGAGACGCGTCAATGCTGTATTTGGGCGGACACGCGCAGCAAGCCATGTGGGTACAATGCGATCAATGAACAGCAGGCGTGGAGAGTCGGTAATGTCTGATGCGCCGACCTATTCCACTGGAGTGCCGCCGCCATCCTATCACTCCCGGGCTGAATCGATCCGGTCTACCTCATCGTTTGGTTGCGTTGATGCCATGAGAGAGACTCGAGAGCATAACAGTCGTGGACAAACAGTTCCTCGCAACGGGGGTATGAGAGAAAAGTTTAAGAAGATCGCGCAGAAGGCGGGACTCTCGAAAAGAGACGGGTGATACGGATCTTCGGGGAAATGGGAGGAAAAGTGAATATAAAGTTTTGACAGCTGCAGATGCAGATGATTTGGGACACGGGCTGAGGAAATGAAACGGATGACGGCGGGATCTGGCTTGGAAAGGACGACAAAAGGAGACCGTCGCGGACAAAGGCGAATCATCGTATTCTCGCGATCCCAGCAGCTTATAGCAGAGCATCATGCCAAGGACATGTTTTTATGGGATTTGGACCGCTTGTCCTAAGGGTAAAGAAAATGGAACGCATGCTACGGGCGTTCGGGGTGCACAGCTCAACAGGTAGCTCCGCATATGTGTTTAGGCATTGAATAGTCTAATACACTACTTACTGACAAGACTACCATCTGCGGCGTTTTCACGTTCGAATGAACAGATGGAATTGGCATGGTATCTGACGTAGTAATTGACGTGAAGGGGCCACCGCCTTGAAAGCGTACATGCTGAGAACCGAATTCGATTGCAGCCAGACAGTCTGATCTACTATAGTACGGAGAAAGTGCAGGCGGTGCTTAGTTGGACCGTGGAAATGCTGCAGCACGGATTAGAGTACGTTTGTGAGAGGTGCAAAGTGGCTGTGCATGGCGTTCCATGCAGTCTGAACCTTTGGAACCTTCCCAAAGCGTTATTCCCCGCGGTCAGCCGAATCGGGCATCGCGCGATTGGCTCTTGGCGGGCCGCTGTCATTGATCTGCGGACTCCCATCAACTCACCTCGTCCATTGGACCGACGCTGTGCCGCCCAACTCACCTGCGTTCCCACTCAGGTAATACCAATGGAGACCAGCTCCTCGTGTTGAGGCCGTCAGTCACCGCGCGACCTTTTCAGCAATCGATCGCGGCCGGCCTGTGCCAGATGGCCTTCGCCTTGAAACCCAACGCTTCCTCCGTTCCGGCATCTCTACCCACTCCCTTCCAGCATTACTACTGGTCGCCATCCTCTTGCTCCTTCCAGTCACCTCTCTCACCGCGCCACACATAGCCAGCATGCCCAACGCCGGTATGGGAGGATCTTCAGCAGAAGGCCATCCGCAGCTCAAGCGGCCGCCAGCCATGGCACGACAGTCGTCCACATCGTCGCAAATGTCGCAATCCTTGTCTGACGGAAATCACAAACCCGCCGTACATAAAGCACAGCGACAGCACGTCGTTGGCCAAAGCCGGATGCAACGGAATGTATCGACTGGGAAAAACCTTCACAAGCTCAATAAAACCACCCAGGCTCACGCAGGCGACGGGAACTCGCGACATCACCGCCGACATCCTTCTGGTGGTAAGGATCCCAACTCTGCGCCTAGCAGTCCCAGGCCAGGCTTCAAGCGCAATGCGTCGACGGGTGGCGTCATCAGAGCTGCGCATCCGCAACACACACACGCTGCGATACGGAAGAACCACTCCAGTGGCCACCTAGCCCGGCAAGTACACCATGCGAAAGCCGCCTTGAAGTCGTCGCGAAGCGAAGTGGCTCCGCCGAAACGATCTTTACTGCAGACGAGCAGAACACGCGAAAGCTCCCCTGAAGGGCGACCTACAGTGCAATTTGACGTAGGAGACGACGAGTACGAAGGCGCTGATGATGGATGGACAGAGGAGAGCGCATCGCAATCACCTACGACCACTAGATCGAACACGCGCTCCAACTCGGTGATACTGGAGCAGCAGAAGGCGATGGGACAGGCTGCGGCAGAGCCGAGCGCCGCGGCGCAACCATCACAGAACCAGCGGCAGGATATTTCCGCGACGCAGACGTTACCCGACCGTACGAGGCACGCACATACTGCGAATGGAGGCGAATCACATTCCCATCGGTCGAGACCGCCGGATGCAGACGTCATCACCTCTAAGCTTCTGCAGCGTAGCTTTTCTAACCTTCCAACGGCGCAGCTGTCGCCGGCCGCTCTTACCGTGGTATCCGAGACAGCGAGAAGGGAGGGGAGAAAAGAAGTCAAAGTTCTCAGCCACAGCACAGGGTCGACGTTGGTCGATACCCCGGGCAGAGACTTGGTGTCGCGCTTCATGGACGCTGGAAGCTCCGGTGGAACGCCCAAGGGTAGCAGTTTCCTGCCCTCGCACAATTCGCCGCAGGGCGCGGGAGATGGTTTTGATCAAGTTAAGCGCAACAAATCCATGCCCAATTTCGCGGAGGCGGGGGCCTCAGCCAAAGGGCCGCTTCGCCGCTCCGGCACCAGCACCCCTGATGACCCACCGTATCAGTCGCGGACGCAGCAGAAGCTCATGCTTCAGCGAGCATCTTCGAACATTGAACCGAATAAGCTACTGCCCGCCGTCCTGCCACGCGGCGTGGTGCCGAACGGCTACGTCCATGCGGGTATGACGTTTGCGGCAAGCGGGGAAGGGCGGTTGGATCCTAGACTACAGCAGCAGTTCAACCATGTGGCCGTGGAGTACAAGGTCGTACGACGGTATCGGAACCCGCTCGCAGATGCGGTCCTGAGGATACAGCAGCTGCCCGGCGTGGCGGAGAAGATTCGGAAGCGCGAGAGCAGGTCCGGGAAGGGGTTGCATGCTGCCGCGAATGGGACGGCGAGTACACACGGAGCCAGCAGCCTGAGCACGAGCCTCAATGAGTCGAGTGTCGAGGCGGCGGACAGGGGGCATAGTCGGCGGCGGTCGAGGATGAGTTTCGAGGGGATGGAGATGGGGAGGGAGGAAAGAGAGGGGGATGGTGGTGGTGAGGGGAGACTAAGCTATGAGAGTCAGAGGAGTGGGATTGGAGGGGCCAGTAGTAAGGTTGAGGCGGAGATGAGGGAGATGATTCGGAGGAGGACCGAGGCGGAGGAGGTTTGTCGGCGGTTGTGGGAGAGTACGGAGGTGGTGGAGGGGGAGTGAGTGATGGGGGAGTTAATGATGGAATGGGGTTTTGGTCTTGGAGTTTTCATTTTTCTCCCTTCCTCTCTCTCTCTCCTTTGATGGGCTGCGGGACGACGGCGGTCGAGTCTGCATTGTAGAACACACTGAAGTGATTTTTTCGGCCTGGAGTTTTGGGAGTTGGGAAAGGGAGGGGTATTGTATTGGAGAGTCCGAATTGGGCACACCAGGCGGGCGGCGTCTTTGGAGGAGATTGGTGGAGGCCGGCGAGTGCACTAGAGTACTACTACATTTACACAGTACAAGGTGGTCGCCGGCTGTAATTTGGAGATTTCACGGCAGCAGCCTTCTTCTTGAGGGGTTGCGGCCAGGCGATATGGCGTGGTGTGGTGCTAGTGGTGGTGGTGGTGGTGGTGATGGTGGGATATACGGTCTGTCTCTCATTGTACGATGACGATGATGACGATGACGATGATGGTGATGATTAATTTGGTTTACTACTTCATGGCAATGAATATAATATATGATCAACAGTGGCGATAGTGGTTGGTTTGTATGATTCTATGGTTATCATTATATGTATGTATGAAAGTGGGTTCTAATAGGGGAGTGAAATGAATTTGTATTTGAGCGATTAAGCCAATCATGGGACGGCTCTCTCGCTCTGCGGAAGATGAGTGGTTGATTGTGGTCGGCCAACTTGGGGGGTGAGAGGCATCGGGACAAGCCTGGGTTAAATAAATGGGACTTCGTGATAATTCGGGGACTACGGAGGCGTGCATGAATGGTGGACAGGGAAAAGCTTTTTCTTTTCTTTCCATTTGTTGTCAACAACCTGGCGGCGAGATTGATTGATAAAAGTGTGCTGGGCCAAGGGAGAGTTCTGCAGATTTTGTGAAGAGATTTCTTTGTTGAGGAACGAATGCTGCAGTCTGGGGTCTCGACTGGAGCTGTCGAATAGAGTATGAAATGTCACGCCAAGTGCCCGTTTCAAACCGTCCAACAGGCAGCTGCCGGACGCAGGGTGACATAATCGGTGCTCAACCTGCAACTTGGTCGTCGGGATGAAGGAAGAGAGAGAGGAGTGGGTGCCAGCTCAGCTCAGTCAGACGGGGTTGCTGTGCGCCTTGCGAAACGTGGACGTGCCACGTTGGAGTGGACAGCACTCCATCGTCTACGGGGTTAGTCTATTTGCAGCCACAGGGAAAAAAGCGGATGGGCTGGTGTTTTTGTTGGGTGAGGTGAGGTCAGAGAGGATGGCGCTCGTGTGCTGGGGCGAGTTTTTTGCCGGGGCGAGTTTGCTGAGGCGACGGCGGCGACACGAGCGAGCGACGCGACATGATGGCGGGGTTTCAGGATTCGAGGCGGCTAAGTCAGTCAAGGTGCGGAAGAGCTGAGAGGCTGCGTGTGAGGGTCCGGAGGAGGAGGTAAAGACCGGCTCACACAACAGGAGAATGGATTATCGTGTGTGCTGCTGTACTCCGTACTCCGTACCTCTTCAGCAAGTCGCACTCACGATGCGAGTGTGCGAGGGAACTGGGGGTTTCAAGGTTGAGGGCCGGGGGCGAGGCCGTGAACCGGAGATTTGCCATCTCGCACATTGATCGTTGCTGCGCCAAGCCCCCAGGCACGTTGCTTCGCCTGGCTTTGACTGGCTGCGGCTGCTCTGTTCCTGGCGGCTAGCCTCAGCGTCTGGGCACAGCCGGGGTACCCCTAATGGCGATGATATTGCCAAGGGGAAAGCGAGATTGCGCCCTGGGAAATTGGGCTGAGTTAAAACCTGCGCCGGGCCCCGTTTCTTTCCCCAGATCCTCCCCCGAACAGCCTCGCCCGCTCCATCCTCCTGCTTTGCTCTCCCGAGTCCTCTGCTGACTCCAGTCAATCTTTTATCTTCACTCTCTCCATCCACACTCTCTTAGAAACTGCACCAGGCCGAGCCTCGCGCTTCACGCTCCCTCATTCCAAATCCCCCCCTTCGTTCCGAAACTGCTCTCGCGTCAACAAACACAAATAGCCGCTCCCTGAGACAAGCCCAACGAGCCTCGCTCCACAGCCTCCAATCCATACTCCCGCACCGACTCGAGTAGTCTAAAACACCTTCCCGTCCACCGTCGGAACTCAGACCACCCCCTTCGTTCATCGGCTCCGTTCGCGCGACCGCACGCCCTTCGTTACAAACCTTCGTTCGTCAACACACGACCAAGAACCCACAAAGCACAATCAAAATGCGCGCCTTCCAGCAGCTCGTCGCCTTCTTCTTCGCGCTCTTCGCCTTCGCCTATGCGCAATCAGAGGAGGCCTCCTACGATGCCACCGTCTACGTGACCTCGACCGTCTACCGTGTCAGCTCTGTGACTCTTCCCGGTACGCCCACTGGCTATGTCCACAACTCCACCTCGACCTTCCACTCAACCCTCGCAGCCACCGCCACCCCCGTCTACTCTGCTGGCAACGGTTCCTCCTTCACGCCCACTGGCACCTCCGGCCCTCAGCCCACGGATTTCCCCGGCGCCGCCTCCTCCCTCAACGTCAACGCCTTCGTCGTCGCCCTGGCCGCCGGTGTCGCCTACCTGGCACTCTAAGACCGCTCTGAGTTCAACGCCTTGCCCACGACTCCGTCGCTGCGAATCCCGTTCTTGTCAACTTCGTCGCATCATCGACTGGTGCTTGCTTGTCTGTGATACCCGATTAGCCCTGTATATTCTTCGACATGGTGGCAGCGACGACGGTCTTGGACACAGGCCAGCGCCGACTTTTATCGACTTTTGATGATTTCGGCTTCATGATGTCTTATGAGGATGTTTACGCCATTTCACTTCGCTTCTACCGTTGACCCGATGTTGGATCAATTCTCTTCGACTTCGATTCCCCATCGGCGAGGGTACCACTACCAACTACGGCCCAGATATGTGATGGGTTCGGAACCTCATTTGTCGCTTCTGCGTCAATGATGGAAGGGCTTTGTCATATTTCTCGGTCCGCATCTACTTTCCTTTGTTTATTTATCACCTCAGTGGCGGATGATTTGATAATCTTCGCTGTGTTTTGTTAATTTCTATTCTCTCTCCACCCTCTTTTGAAGAGCCCTTCTTGCTCCAGCGTGACGCGCTTGAGAGGAGCTGCTTTGCACACCTACATATACATTCCTTTCTTCTGCTTTTCAGGGGTAAAGGCTTGTTGGCTGTTCAAGGAGACGCAAAGTCCGCCTCTTTTCTTCACTTCTACGTCGACTACTCGGTTTATCGACAAGTCGTCGCTGGACTCGATTGGTTTCTTTTGCTACCTACCCTTACCCCTCAATTCCCGATTACCTTAACACAAAACACACGTTTTCTCTGGTGGAGCTGGAGTTTGGAGATACCCCCTTTTTTCACAGTTTTTTGCTTCTTTGGATGATTGGCGAGGGAGAGTTTGGTTTCTGGCTTGGAGGTTATGCGGTGGGATGGGTGTGCACGTTGCAGAATATACAATTTTATTAAAAGGATATGTTTGGTCTCTGACGTGAGGGAGGCGGTGTTTGCGCATGTGATGGTCGTTGCGTACAAGTGGGGAAAGAGGCTGTTGCTTGGTTGGTGTGGTGATGGGTGTGCATTCCTCGAGCTCGTCTCACAGCGGGTGGCAACTTCGACTTGCCTTTGTTGAGTCGCATCCTGACTGACGACGGCAACACTCATCTCACACTCATCCTGCCACAAGACGTAGTAGTCGATGCTACACTCTCCTCCCCCCCTTCCGAGGTTCCCCCTTTCCCCTGTGGCGGTCCATCATCGATCGATGTGGGTCAACTTAACTCACTTCGACTCATCCGCGCTAACCCTTTTAGAGACCGGCCTTACCATTTCTGGCTGCCTTTGTAATGATTACGCTAAGCCCGAATCGGGAGGGTTCGACGTTCACTGCCCCATTTGATATACGCATTTCTATATAGATATAGATATATATATAAGTGTGCCAGTTTTTGCTGGAGGTTGAAGGATGCATATATTTCCTTTGCGCGCTTCTCTGTGTCTTTGTTTTACTTTTCTGGATTGTTTTTCTGGTATTGAGTTTCTTCTCTCATCAATACTGCAGCACTACTGAAGATAGGAAGGGGCGGCTGTTTGCTCTCTTTACCAATCCGTTATTTCTCTTTTTACGCTTTGCGCCCGAGCTTGCTGTATTGGGGAAGTGAAGTCGGACGAGTAAAGAACAACCGTTCCGCCGTTCTTTGTCTATTCCTCTTCCTCTCTGCTCTCTTTCTCGTACCTCTCTACGCACGGGACGACATGGTGCGCCGGGCCAAAGACTCCGCTGCGGCAGCGCCAACGATGCCGGCAGAGCAGCATTCCGCAGGAGGAGGGGCATATATCAATGTAACGGCGCAGCAGTCGCGGTATGCCGTGGACGCTGTGGATGCGCCTGCTAGTAAGGAAGTAAGACATATTTTCCCCCCACCCTCTCTTCTTCTCTTCCTTCCTTCCATCATTTGTCTAAGCGGGGAGTGTGGTATCATCTATCAACTCCATTCTCCACAACCTCCTCTCCTCTTCCACACTTCCTCTCCAAACCCACCAAACCGTCCACACACTAAATAGAGCCACAGATCCTAATCAAAGACCTCACCCTCACCGTCGCCAACCGCGACCTCCTCTCCCACGCCACCCTGCACCTCGTCGAAGCCAAGCACTACGTCCTCGTCGGGCGCAACGGGAGCGGGAAATCGACGCTGCTGCGCGCCATGGCCGAGGGGCTTGTCCCGGGTATCCCGTCGAGCACGCGCATTTTGCTTTTGGGGCAGACGCTGGAGGTACCTGCGGAGCAAGGAGTTGACGATGTGCGGGGGGTGGGAAGGAGATTGCAAGGGCTGGGATTAGGTGTGAGCCAGAAGGAGGAGGAAGAGGAAGAAACGGTACTGCAGCATGTATTACGCAGCGAAGCCCTCAGGCAGACACACCTGCACGAAGCGAAAGTCCTCTCCGAGGCGCTTTCGCATCCTACCGACGCCCTGGCGCCAGTGCGAGCGTACAGGCGAATTCACCACGAGCGGCTCCTCGTGCAGCTCAAGGAGGCGCAGCGGATCGCGGAACGGCGCAGTGGTGCTAGGGGAAAGGTAGCTAGGAAGGAGCTCATCAAGCTCGAGGAACGGGTTGAACAGAGTGAAGCCCGCCTGCAGCAAGTCGACGTCGGCGTCGCCGTCGGCGTCGACGCCGACGACATTGATGCCGCGACCGTGAGCGCCGAAACGCAGGCTGCTGCCGATATGCTCGCCGGCGTGCAAACCTCGCTGCAAGTGATGGACGCGGCGCAGGCGGAGGCAAAGGCAAGGTCTGTCCTGCTAGGTCTCGGGTTCAAAGACGACAGCATCGACGGGCCCGTGTCGCGGCTTTCCGGAGGCTGGAAGTCGAGATGCGAGATTGCGTGCGCGTTGACGCAGTACGCCGACGTGCTGCTGCTCGACGAACCGACGAATTTTCTGGACTTGCCGTCGATCCTGTGGCTGCAGGGGTATATCCGGGGCTTGCGGAGCCGGACGACTGTGCTGGTTACGACGCATGATAGGGATTTTGGGGACGCGGTCGGGGAGGAGTTGATTGTGCTGCGGGAGAAGAAAATAGAGACGTTCCGGGGGAATCTGAGTCTCTGGGAGCGGGAGAGGTGGAAGCGGATGAGGTATTTGACCAAGATGAAGGAGGCGCAGGAGAAGCAGAGGCGGCATATGGAGAAGACGGTGGCGGGGAATCTCCGCGCGGCAAGGGAGAAGGGGGACGATAAGAAACTCAAGCAGGCGGCGTCGCGGAAGAAGAAGTTGGATGAACGGATGGGCATGGAGGTCGGGCTCCGGGGAGGGAGGTTCAAGCTCAATCGCGATTTGGCGGGTTATCACACGAGCAATCGGGCGGAGATCGAGGTCCCCGAGTTTGATCCCCCAGTCAGGTTGAATTTTCCGAGATACCCGGCCGAGCTGCGGTTCCATGGTGCGTTGGTCTCGCTCGAGAAGGTGAGCTTCGCGTACCCGCCGGCGGGGAGGAAGAGTGTGCCCGTCCTGATGGATGTGGATTTGACGATTCATCCTCGTGCACGCGTAGGACTGGCGGGGTTGAACGGGTCGGGCAAGAGTACGCTCGTGTCGCTCATCATGGGGCAGAGTGCTCCGACCAAAGGGACCGTGACGAGGCATCCCCGCGCCACCTTTGGCTGTTTCTCGCAGCAGTCGGTCGAAGAAATCACGGCTATCGGGGCGCGGACACCCAGTTTGACGGCGCTGACCCATCTGATGGAGTGCGCAGGCAGTGCTATGAGCGAGAAGGACGCGAGGGCTTTACTCGCCTCGCTGGGCCTTCACGGGCAGCTGGCCTCGGATGTGCCTCTTGCGTTGCTGTCGGGCGGGCAGAAGGTCCGGGTTGCGCTGGCAAAGTTGTTGCGCCCGCCGCCGCCGCAGCTGCTGGTGCTGGACGAGGTGACGACGCATCTGGATGCGGATACGATTCTGGCGCTTGTGGAGGCGTTGCGGGCGTATGAGGGGGCGGTGGTGGTGGTTACGCATGATCGGTTTTTTATGCGGTGAGTGTGGGCGGGTCCCTATCCTATCCAATCCATGGTTTTCGATCGTGGGGACTTTGGGATTGACGAGTTTGGCAGCACTGTGGTCGAGGGCGAGAGCCCGTATAAACTCGCGCCGGGGCTTCGAGCGCAGATGGACGAGGAAGGTGAGGATGAGGATTCTGGGTCGGAAGATGAAGAAGGGGTGCAGCCGGGGACGGTGTATCGGATAGTGAAGGGGCAGTTGAGGAAGTTGGAGGGTGGGATGGCGCAGTATGAGGAGATTGCTGCGAGGGCGGCGAAGAAGTTGACGGTGAGGTGAGGGGTGGGGAATGGGAAGGGGAGTGGGAATGATGGGGTGTTGATGTGTTGGTGGTAAGGATGTTTGGTGTGATTAGGCTCAGTGCAGGATATTGGAATGATGGCAGCTCAGAGATTGTGTTCTTGCTGTGGCTTTTAGACATTTTGTTTCTGACGAGAATTGGTGGTATGAGATAAGGGCCCGTTGACATTGGCCCGCGATGTCCAGCGCTAAGTAGTCCCCAGACTGGGTGCAGTGAAGACGCCTGTAGAGGTCGCAGAACCTCTTCTGTCTTTAGGCCAGGAAAATCTAAGTGGAAGAGTCAAAATCACGTTGTCTGGAAGGATCAGGGTTGGCTATCTCTCCTCTTTTTCTCACTTTCGTTTTTTTCTTTATTTTTGATTTCTGGTTTGAGACTGTGTTTTCGGTATCAGCGAGGTGTGAGTTTGTTGGCATATTGTGTCGCATTTATTCTTTTGAAGAGCCCGGAAGATTATGTCTAGGCGGGAAACGTATGTAGTATGCTCAGCTCTCTAATTCTGACTTGCATGATGATTCTTCTAAGTGAGGGGAACGTGGCAAGGGTGTATAAACATAGTGGTGTTAAAGAGGCCTTGTGTAAATAGAAGCGAACATATGGAATACAGGATGGTTGATTATGATTTTGCTGTCCTCGTTTTTGTTATCTCGTTATCTGACAGTGGTTAAGATGTGGAAGACGTTGACGATGAATTGTCAAAAGAAACATGCCTGGTTCGGCTGATTTCTCCTTCAAGGCAACGATCGGCAGGTATTCTCCTAGCTGTGATATTATCTAGCGGCATCTACGCAAAAGTTAAAAGTCCACATATCCTGCATTCGATTCGTTTCCCCAGAGGGGAAGGGAGATAGCAGTGACTGAGTGGTGAATGTTGCTCGCGGTTGAAATGAGACTGCCTGAGCTCGTGCCTGCCAAACGCTTTCCGCGGGTGCTTGGGCACATAATGGCCCAGGCGCGGCTCGGGAGGCCAAACCGGGGGCCCGAGCTCTCTTCCCGTCCCTTTAGGGGCAAGCCGAGAATTATCACCCTTCCTTCTGTTGAGACGACCTTTCCAACCTTGCACGTCGCCTTTTCCCTTCGTTTTTCTGTTGTCAATTGTCACTCTCTAATTGTAATGTCTTGACTTTTGCCATTTAATATACCCCGCTATCGCTCGCTTGCCATGTCCGACGCCGAGGGTGCCTCCCCTCGCTCCTCCGTAGACCCCGAACCCCGGCCGCTCAAGAGACCAAAGGACAGGACGTGTCCGTTCTGTGGCCAGCTCTTCACCTCCTCCTCGCTCGGGCGGCATCTCGATCTCTTCATTCGCCCTGAGAATCCAAAGGCACCCGACGGAAAGCACAATGTTGATGAGATTCGGAAGATACGGGGCAACATAACGAGGCGGAACTTCAAGGGCGTCGTCAAGCGGGATCCCAGTGGTGGAGCAAATAACGCCAGTCGGAAATCTTCATTGACGGTATCGAAGGCTTCGGTCGATGCCGAGGCGTCCGGGAAGGCTGGTGGGCAAACCCCAGGGGCAAAGAGCCAGGATACACCCAGGGATCGGTTACGGAAAGTGAAGAAGGCGGAATTGAATGAGCGGCAAAGAGCCGAGGATGAGGAAGACACAGTGAAGGCTGCAGAGTTGGCCCTGAGGGAGCTCTTGCGTAGTGTCCGGGAAGCCAGTGCGAAGGCTGCTGGCATACACCTTTTCGACTTCGACCCGTACGAGCTCAACTTCCCCAGTCTATGCCTTCACATTCTTCCTGCACCGACGACCCTCTTTTCTCCGACGCCCTTTCCTACAAGCGAGTCATGGACCCTGCAGCCTCCAGGACAGAAGCAGTTCGAAGCGTTGAAGCGTCAAGTCCAGGAGAGACTTCTTGCACATAGCCGTCGGCGGCAGAATAGTGAATCCTCGCCACAATCCTCCAAGGTAAAGCTCCCCTCCGCCAACAGCTCTCCCCTCCCGACGCCGCCTCTACTCGAACCCGACCCGCAGAGACTGTTTCGTCATCTGACGGATGCCTACAATCACTGGTCAGCTCATTCCGATAAGCAGCGTCAGGAGGCGTGGCAGCTGGAGATACTTCGCTCGTATGCCAAGGCCGACCGCCAGAGACAGGACGCAGAGGCAAGTTTGGCGCTGGCCAGGCAAGAGATCGAGGAGCTGAAGAATCAGTTGGCCTCGTCGAATCACAGTGACACCGCCCCAGTTCGCTTTAGTTTTGATTGCCAAACTGTAAGAGAGCTGAGGAAGCTTGGAGCGGAATTCCGGAACTGGGACTATGATCGCCTGATTGATAAGTGGAAGGGTGTCGTACGGGATGAGAAGATGTCTTCCTCTGGCATGGCTGCCCAAAAACCATTGCCCGACGCCGAGACAGTTGAGACCAAAGCCTGCGTACCCGCGAAATCAGTGGCCAACGGGGCAGGACTCAGAGTGGAGATACCCCCTAATCCTTACGCATCGGCCCCGACGACTACCAACTGCACCGAGGCTGGCAGTGACCACCATATTGATGCGGAGGGGGAAGACGAGGATGCCGATGCTGACGCTGATGCCGATATCGACATCGACGGTGGTTTATCGGAAGCAGACTCCTCTATCCATCACACCAACCCCGACATCCTTCTTCAACCTTCCCCGCATCATCCCGCACAAGTGCATGCATCGCAAGTTCACACTCCGCATGTCGTTGGCCATGATCCCTTCGCGCAAGCAAGCGCTCAGTTCCAGGCACAGGCGCAGGCTCAGGCGCAGGCTCAGGCACAGGCTCAGGCTCAAGCCCACGCTCAGGCGCAGGCGCATGCGCAAGCACAGGTGCAGGCGTGGGCAGCAGCCCGCCAGCATATGAATCAGAGTCGAAACCAACATCGCCATGTCCATCAGCAGCTCTCACCTCATCCCCACGGACAATTGTCTCCGCATCCCCTTCAACAGCTCTCGCCTCACCCGCCCCACATCGGTTCTGCGGAGAATAGCCGCCGCGGGTCTTATGCCTTCCTCGACAGCCACGGCATGCCTCAGACCAGCATGCCTCTGGAGCTTGACACTCACCAGAACCCATTCCTACGCCTGGGCATTGGCCTTACTGATGCCTTCGTGGGCTCTACTGGCGAGCCGGTCTAGTTAACTGCTGCCAGGTTTTCATGCCATCTTTACTCTTTAATAATTAGCATGCCTGGGTCGTTCGCCTTCCGTTTATGTGTACATTTCTTTCCTAGCATGTGGATACCACAGTCTCCTTCCTTATCTCTATTAGTTTCGCGTGGAGCGAACTGCATCATGTCTCTTGTGTCAACATCTACGCTATTGTAATAACCTTTTTTAATTTCCTTTTCGCAAGAATACCCGCGAGGCAACCTACATTTCCTTTTTGTATTGGTTCTAGACTCTCGTTGTTATACCCATGTAGACTGCCCACCTTCAGTGGTATGGGGGCTACTGCCTTTTTGCATGTTCAGATGGAGTTTCGGGTCAGTTGCGGTCTTGTTCTTGGGACGAGATAGCCGGAGAGGAGTGGATGGAGGTTTCGGATTTTGGGAGTCGTTGTATACCACTGGCGGAAATGGGAGGTAGAGTAGTTTGAGGGGAATATATATGGTTATCTGTAGATAGTTTGGTGGTGATGGTGTATAAGTTGGACTCCATGGTGTTCTTCCGTGTTGGCCCTATATGTATCGTTGACGGACGTTGGATGGTAAGCTCAAAAGCGTACGCTAAACCCAAAGCGTGCATAGCGCTAATCCAACGACACCTAGACAGTAGAGGAACAACTTTGTCATACAACAGATTTGGAATATGGACACAATCCGGGACATAATGGCCACTTAATCATGAATGAGGAGTACGGGAGTCTAGCGGCTCGCAATACCTGGCGTCGTTTATCACCTGATCAACGAACAAAGGGCTCCCCCAATAATCGTTCGTTCCGTCGAAGCTGATATCCAAGGCTTCCGCAATGGAATTGACTGCTCTTCCATGAAGCATCCCGCAGCCATGAGCCGGTACTAGTACACCTTCCTGACAATTTTCTCCCTAGGAATCTTTGGGTTAGACTCGCCGCTTACGTCCACCATCACTATATCAATCCCCCCAATTCCCAACTCTGTAGTCAGGATTGTCACATCGGTTCTCCGCTGAAGTTTGTGGCTGCGGAGGTGCTACGAGGTGCGGATGGGACATTGCTCAGAAATGGCGAGAGATATGGTGAATTGAGCAAGACACGAAGGAAAGAAAGCTTTGCGGCCACCATGACGCACGGCGAACAGAAACACAGTAAGCAATGGCAAGGAGAGGGCCTAGTAGCATCACGGATGTGGGACGTACGTCCAATTGGTCCTTGACGCCGGTGTCTATGAGGGCCGCAAAATCCCACATCGACTTCTACCTCTCCGAAGGACTGATGAGGAAATCGACGATTGGGGGACTCCCGCATGCGGACGGGAGCGTGGAGGCTATGAAACGGTATGCGGCGAAAGCGGGGAATGCGCAAGATGAGTTCGGTCGGCCGACGGCTGCGGAGTGGACTCTTAGGGAGCCGAGGATGGGGTCGGTGGTCTTTGTGGGGGATGGGACGTCTGTGGTGCGTTTTACTATGGGCTGGGTGTTGATTAATGAAGATGCTCGGGTTTTAAATAAGGAACATGGAGTTGACCAAGAGGTTGGGGAACCGATTGATGGGCTTTGGGCGGCGGGTGAGGTAGCGGGGGGAGTGCGTGGGCCGAATAGGCTGGGGGGAAGCTCGTTGTTGGAGTGTGTTGATTCTGGGCGGAGGGCGGGGAGAGGGGTGGTGAAGTATCTCAGGGATTTGGAGGGGAAGTAGGAGGGCTGGATAATCGATGTTGGTAGACTCGGTATTGCATCCACTTTCCCAAGCGGATACCGTGTTCGTGGTCAGTATGTGTATAAAATACTCTAAAATGTATCTGAGGGAAAGTAAAACGTGAAAAGTCCCTTGTGAGGGATCTCAAGCGCCTAAGTGCCTCCAACGCTCGTTCCACTGCAGTAAAGAAGTTTGGTGTTGAGTCTCTGCAAGTTACGTCCCCACCAGGCGTGTCCTGAACCCTAGGTCGTCACTTGTGAGCGAGTCACGTGACAAAGCATCCCCTACCCCTGAACGGTTCGCCAACTTGAAAAATCTAGAGGATGTCAGGTTGCAATAATTTAATTGAGAGTTTAAAGATGTAATGAAGAGTACAACCACCCCAATAGGTGTGGAGATATGCATTTGCGAGGGTAAGAGAGTCTTTGAGATCATTCCTCGTAGAGCCCTACGAAACGGAAAAAAGGACCAAGACCAAATGCCATAAGTGGAACGTTACCAATGGCTCGCCTCGGTCCTTGTTGCCTGAGGAGTAGGGTTTGCAGATACTTTGGGTACATAGGCTACGAAGTCATCTGCACTTTCGGGTTCTGTGCGGACATATTTCTCTATGAGTCTAGACGAGCGTAAAAGCCTGAAAAGTCTCCAGGTCTTATCCGACCGAGGGTTATCCGTCTACAGCACCTGGATGCATAGACTGGCTATTTGGCATATCACATTGCTTTCAACATGCTACATCAACATCCTCACTTCGGTCCTAGTCGTGTCATGATCATTCACCCCTATCCGTCCATATCCACCCCTCATCCCCGTACTTTCTACAACCTAACCCTCTCACTCCCGTCCCTATATCCCTTCTTCCATCCCTCCACTCTACCTACCTCCACCAACACCCCCTCCAAAAAGTCCCCTCTCAAAAGGCAACCAATCACGATTCCTGCAATCCCCCCTGACGTTAGATATGCAGCTAGAAGATACCCACATGCCTGCCCACGCCCACCTGCATGCAAAGGCAGAAAAATTTTCTGCTGCTGCGTCCAGGTTGCAGCAAGTTTGCAGTCTGCATATCTGCAGCTGCGCCCAGGGTTGGCCCGGCACCACGCTCGCGGAAAGTGGAAGTTTGAGCACGAGCATCTATGGGCTTGAGCGTGGGAAGCGGTTTCCGTTTTCTGGAATCATTTACAATTGGAGCCGGTTGAATGGACGGGGCTGGATTTTTATCCCGAACGAGGAGGATTGTGGCTATACCGAGGGCTGAGAAGGGTCTCCGATTGTTCGCCGTTGGAGTGATGATTCCGTGTGATGACACATGCGGTGGAGACTAGGAAGGGGGAGGGGGGAGTCAAGCCGGGACGTGTCAATCTTTGGGGGGGAGAATGTATGGAAGTGAGAAGTGAGCAATAGCAAAGAGCCAGTGAATCCACAGGAACCAGCAATTTGAAGGAAGAAGCGAAGTCCTCTATACCTGCAGAGGAGCATGCCTTTGAGAACTCCCTCACCAATTTCACCATATGGTTAATAACCCTCCCTCCAGGAGCAGAAGAATCCCCCTCATCACGCACACTGCCCTCCACCAATCCCATTCTCCACCAATCCAGCCTTTCACCTCCCTGTGCTCACAAACCCAACCCCTCCTCGTCCTTCCACCCCCACTTACTGTGCAACTACTCATCACCCAAGCGGTAATACCCGAGCAGTCACCTAGCCCAAGCCCGATATGCGGTGGTGCTGAGCAGCACCCCTGCCACGCTGCCAACTCCCTAGCAACTCCCTAGACTACTAGCAGACCCACACACGCACATAACCCTCCAGTCTCGGGATCAAAATTACGTGCGACGTGCGAGCCAGCTGCTGCCTCCCCGTTCAATCTGCTGTCCTTGAGGCACGCAGCGTGCGGAGTCCCCAGCAGCGCCATCCTCTCACATGACGAGTTTCTTGTGTGCGGCTATAATACTGCAAATTTCAACGTCACGTCTTGTTTACACGACGCGCATGGCCGCTTTTCTGCGACCGCGGCCTTTCGTACCCAGCCCATTCTGAGGCCATGCGTGTCAATGGCGAGGCGGGATTCACATCAGAAGCGGGAGGGAGGTTTCCAAGGAAAACCGCCACCCAAGTGGGCGCTATCATTGCCTATGGTCTGTTTACGTCCCGTGGTACGATTGATGGCTGTCTTACACCTTCGCCTACCTGTTTATGCGCAAGTCCAGCCGGCATATGTGCGGAGAAGAATGCCAATCGTTGATTTGGAGTCCTCAGGGACGCCTTACGGTGGGACAAGATTCGCTATCGAAGCCATGACAACGCAAAGCTCCATGCTCTGATGCCAGACACAGCTAGAATGTGTGAGACATAATCTATCCATCCAGAAGCATTGGTTCGGCAAGCCAATCCACCTGCATTGGGATGGGGCAGACTCGGACGCCGGCGAGGACAGAAGCAGGTTGCAGCACCTCGCCACCTCAATTTGAGGTTTCCGTTGCTGGGCATATTGCGCCAGCCATAAACCTGTCCGCAGCGGGGTCGCCGGTGAGGACTGTGCCCATCGTCTGGCCCTGGAATTTGTCACGGTTTTGCAAACCGGCTGCTGGCAACCCTAGACCAGAATATCGCACTGACGCTCCTGGCAGATGTCTCCGCACCCGCCAGACCCATTGCTGATTGCCACAGGAAAACCGGGTATATCGAGCGCTCATCCATCAGCCAAACCGCAGTCGCCACGTCAGAGGATCTCCAAAGGGGGGGATGCTCCGGCCGGTTCTAGCGTCTGCTAAGGGCCAGATGATTGACTAGATATGCGATGGCAAGCCAGGATCCGCATAAACTTCGCACCCTCCCATGATCTAAGACATGCAGGCCTGTCAGCTTTGCATGGCCTAACACTTCAACAACAGGTGGAACGCGGGAGAAGCCAGCCGTTGAGTGGGACGGTAATCAGCTGAACGACAGCGGAGCTGAGTCTGCAATGCACCATGCACGGAGCGATTACTAGTGAGTAACACACGCCCAGGGTGATACGTCCTGACGTGATGCCCGGCCGGCTGTTGCAGGAGGGAAAGATAAGGTGACTGGTCAAAGACGTTCGAAGCCGAACCAGATGGATCAACGGAGGCCGTGACTATCAACAGCGTCGAGGTCCAATAGCTGGACGAGCTGGAGCGGTCGACATTGGGACAGAAGTGGACGGGGCTACACAAATTGATTAGCTCTCACACAAAAGAAATTGGAGGCTTTCGGGGAACCATGCGAGCGGCCGATTGACTGAGGGACCAAGGGCCCATCAGAAATGATTTCCAAGACCCCAACGACGGAACGTGTCCAACCGAGATGCCTGCTAAACACAACAGAGGAGATTGGCCAATGCCGTGCGCGAGGCTTGAGAGTGTCCGTGAGGGTGGTACGTGGGTGTGATAGAGAGTGGCGCTGAAGTCTAGCCTGGGGAACATCCTCCCCTCCGAATTGATGAGGTCTTGGAATACAGGACTCTGTTGCCCAATCGCTTATTCATAGTGACAAACGACTCGAACGTTGAGTACTCGGTCGACATAGATCCGTAGACACGTGATCGTATTCATCACTGAACCCGTCAACTTCCTCGAGGATGGAGGATTCACTGTTGTCCAGAGAAAATCATCCGGACATCGTTGAAAGCCTTTGGCTGAAACATGGCGACCAGGACCTTGCGGGATTTTCGACTTCAAGGGGGCAAAATGTGCGGTCAAGGGAGCCACGACACGATCATCCCCTAGCAGATGTGATATCTTTCTGCAGCTGGAACGCCGGGTACGGCCTAGGGTGCCATTGCAGCCCGTCTCCGCAGTGAATTAGCGGCAGAATGAGAGGGATCCATTGATCGTGGCAATATCGTTGGACACCGAGCGGTGGGGTGCAACCATGTCGACTGATGGACAGGCCACGGCATCAACGTCTGGTCCGTGAGCGGTACAAGCGGGATCCGAACATGCTTGTTGATGTGATTGCGAGGACTCCAGCAGCGGGCATAAATACCGGCTCTTTCACCCTCAATCCGACATCCCCAGACTCCAGGACGCCAACATCCACTGAGGCTTGAGAACTATCCCTCTCGTCCCTGCTCTTCAAACCGGAAAACCCCTTTAGTCAACTCTTCTTCAACTCCCATTCTCTTTAGCAGACTGCTCTGGTGCTCGTCGTCCAACCGAAGTGTATGTTGAAGGGATGTTCGCCCCGGTCATCGAACCCGAAGAATTGACAAGGAGCAGGTGCACAGTCAACGATCCAATCAAACGCGACTGCTGTTCGACCTTCAGAACACCAGGCAAGCCGCAAGAGCTCATGTCCAAACAAACAATGCACAAGACTGACAATAAGAAGCACCGACGTTCCCAGCTCTTGAAACATGTGCTTCTTCGATCAACAGCGTTTCGTTTGCGGTGACTGGAAGTGGGGCCACTTCCGCCAGCACTGCCATAAGGAGTACCGGATTGGTGAGACATGTGGCATGAAACTTATCATGCACACTGTCCCTGTCGGCCAGAAGTGTAAGCTGTGCGAGAAGATCGACACCAAGAAGCGACGGCGGGCCGCCGAGGTTGAGCGGATCAATCGATGGCAGCGTGAAGGGTCCAAATTTCGAGCGTCCATTGACAAATCCATGGAAATAATCCGAAGCCTAGACTACGAAATCCAGGAGCTCGAATGCGAACGGGGCCGTCGACTGCAGGGGATCGGAACCCAGATGCGCTCGTGAAATGGGGTTCATGACGCGGGCGTCTGGGAATGGGTTTCATGTACAACGCTTCTTGGTTGCTTTCGACGAAGTCCACTCATTCTGGAGCTTTTGAGACGGAACGATACGGAGAGACTGATATTGAGAGGGGTGTGACGGAAAAGGAGTAATCCGGGCGTTACTTCATACATTCGCTTGCTTTATTTTGCCTTGCTTTCGAGAGCTTAATGATACAATGAAGTTCTTTTCACCTTGATGATTGGCCGTGTCTTAGTTCTGTTCATGGTAGCCGCTGTGCCGTGCACTGGGGGCCGAAGCCATCCAATCCGTGAGGGTCGCGTAGCCGCAATTAGAAGTGGGGAGGTGATGGCGCACGGCCCTTTCCGAGCACCACGGCGCCTCATGGGAGGCGCTCATGGAGGAGCAAAAAGGAGTCCAGACATGATATATGGTAGGCGGCACGCATCGAGCCTGCGGAGGGGGGGGGACGTAGGGTTGCCGGTGGTGGTGGTGGTGTTGTGGAGGTGGAGTCGACGAAGTGGGGGAGGACTGCAGTGCGTGTTCCAGGTTCGCTTTCCTCGCACGTGACAACGCTAACTCTCAGAAAAGACTAGCTCATAGTCTCTGCCGAAGAGTCGCCGGGGCTCAACAAACCGTTCCTCGACCCAACGTCGCTCCCACGCCTCAACACCACACATGCAGTACACCTGCATCACCGCTAGCATTGGCTCTGCGCCATTGTCCCTGCACTATGCCGGCTCCTCGCGTCTTTTGTGTTTCCGGCCGAGAGACCCTGCCGCGATTCCCCGCTCTCCAACAGCGACACTGACTCTCGGTCTCGTCATCCACTTGATCCGTTCTGCGTTCGACCATCCAAACCCTGAAGGGAGTGGACAAGCTGGAGCTGGCCTAGTCCTGAACGTGTCCGCGCGGCTGCAGTGTCGAAGTTTCGCCGGTGTCATTTACGTTGCGTCTATGCCAACGGCTGAGGTCGTGAGGTCATGATGCGAGTCGAAGCGTGGACGTCTTTTAAACCTGTCGCGCCGTCAGATTCCTTTGATATATTCGTCAAGTTCGAGAAGAAACTCCGTCACTACCTCCAAAGCGGCGTTGGCACACCATATCTAGACTGGAGCCCAGAGTCGAAGCGGATTCCACGACGCTCCCATCCCACGTGGCGGTCGCTGAGTGGTCTGCCCACACAGGTGATCGCCTTTTCCTGGCCACTCAACAGTGCTATGCAGAAGACTGGTCTCAGGTCCCAGTTTCGGCATGGTTCCCTCTGGTCAAACTCCATTGCACTCGTTGCTGGAATTTCGTTGCCCCAGGGTGCTCTTGTTCGATTCCAAAGCCGGCCGGAGTTAAGTGTGGGCGATGTCAGGTTTATGAACAAGGTCGACCAGAACAAGGTCGACCAGTACAAGCTCCGCCTATGGCGAGCAGGTTAGGGCGCTTATGCTTCTACGCATGTTGACTCCTTGTATCACGGTAAACTCTGGTTCACATCGTGTAGACAGGGGATATGCCAGCGCGACCTCCCGACGTAGGACCAATAATGCGAGGCGACGTATAGCCGGATACTCCATCTCGCAGTTCGTATGCTGCGGGGCCGCAGCAGACACGTCTAGAACGACCACTGGGGCACCGTTCCCTGATGTATTGGACATCCTTCTTATTTTTGTGCATATCTGGCACCAGAGGTAAGATTCCTCAACAGCCAATCAGGTCACTGATCATGGAAAAGGCTCAGTGTGCTCTTCTATGTATTACCCTTCTGAGCTCTTCTTGCTTAACCCGCCAACGCCGAACCACAGTGGTCCAGCAGTCATGTCAAGACGCATGCGTGCGTGGGCTGGCCAATCAGCTTCTGGGATCAGCTCTTCTGGCTATCACGCTTCCTTTCGTACCCGCCCTATCGTGCTTTGGGCGACACCGGTCTGACTTGCGCCGGACACGATCCAGCGAAGCATGGATGTGTACCTGCACCCAGATCCGTTAATTTGCTGGGAAACGCTCACCGATTTGAGCCTGCCTCTGCAGCACGGGAAGCGGGGAGCGGACCGCTGGCCGCGCCCATTTTGTGCATGACCGGGTTCAATGACCAGAGCTGGTCGAAGCTCCTAGCATTCTGCATCCAGTTTTCACCCGATTCTGGCCCAAGATTTAGCTTTTCATGTTTTCTCTTCCTTGACGAGATGGCTGTAGAACGTTCTAAGGAGAGGTCAACACCAGTTCCAGTAATCTCGAGAGTGGTCATGGGCAAGCCGCCACATGATGTCTGACTCCCGGCAAACAATGACATGAACTGATAATTGGGGAACCGGAACTCTGTAACAAGGTCCAGCGTTTTGGAACTTATACTTGGGCGCCTAACCCAACCATATATACCCAACCGCGCGCGGCCTCATGACCCTCTAGCTGATCCAACCGCCAGGTACCACTACAAACAATCTCCGCTGTTTTGAATGGTACCGTATTGGCAAGTGCATATGCTGCACCCATCTTCGCACTTGTTCGCGCTTGCGGGGATAGGATACGAAGTCGAAGTGGTAAGCTCATTATCTCCCGCGAGCCAATCAGAAGCGAGAAGCTGTACAACCCCTAGTGCAGCAACAGCCGCCCATGCAGCTTTTCACAGGTCGTTCGCGGAGAGGGAGTCCACCACATGGAATCATTCAGCGCTAATTCTGACGAATCACATTCCATATCCTAGTCCTGTAGAGTGAGCGGAGGAAGCAACGCCAACAAGGTATTATGGGACCAACACCGTGAAGTATACTAGAGATGATGATGGTAAAACAACCAAGAAAAAGAATGAATGAAACTAAACCTCCCCGGCCTGTATCCCCTCTGTCAACACAATTCCCAACTTCACACGACCTGTTCCTTATCCACATATCAATATCCATATTGGCAACTTCCAACAGGCAGCACACCACACCTCTCAACCCCTCTGCACCTGCACCAAAGCAATATCATCGAAATCCACCTGCATATACCCCTCATCATTCACGCCCGAGACCGCCCCTCCCTGGCCCACACAGCTCACCGTCAAGCTCAAATCCACACTAACATCCACATCACTGCTTCCCGCCTCATAAAACGCCGTCCTAGGCATAGCCAACAAATCTGTCTGCGGTACCGCAGTATACACCACTCGATCACCTACACGGTATACAATCGAGCACCGCGCCTCTGTATCCAGCTGCCTCGTATATCCCGATAACCGATACTGCCGTCCAGGACACAAGATCACGGGCGTGGACACCACGATACTAGCGCCCGATTCGGCGGAGAGCACGCGGCCCGAGCGGCGCCCTGAGAGGGCACCCGCATTATCGGACTGGAAGGTGAGGAAGGAGATGGATGGGGAGGAAGGCTCGGTGGACCAGCCGGAGGCGTTGCCATCGCTTCCTAGTTCGAAGCCGGGGTTGAAGACGACATTCTGGGAGGGGTTTGCACAGGCGGCGGAGATTTGCTCGGGAGTGGCGATGGTGCCGGGTTGACGGAAGAGGGTCGTTGGTGTTGAGGTGAAAGTGGTGCCTATGGTGGAGGTGGATGTTGTTGTGACGGTACTGATGTACGTTGGCATGGCTATGGAGGTGTCAAGGCCTGCGCCAGTGCCGCTGGGGAAGGTGGCATTGCCGGTCGGGATGGAGCTGTTGGAGACGGATGACACGCAGGTTAAGTCGGGGAGGGGGGTAGTCACAGTACTGAGGATGACGGTTGTGAGGGTCGCCACTGAGATGGTGTATCCCGTGGGGGCGGGACACTCGTCACTGGGAGTTGTCATGTTCACGGATGGCGTAGGCACAGTGGAAATGGTGGACGAAATGTCCCCCGTTACCAATGATGAAACCACGGTCGAGTTTAGAGAGACGAGAATTGTCGTTGACGCGGTGTCAGCGGGCGCTGAAGTCGTGTCGTTTAGAAAAGGTCCTGGCACGCCCGTCGAGATTGCCGTTCCCAGTGGCAAGGTGGAGTTGCCTAATACGCTAGGAAAGGAGCTTGAGGGATCACTGGTGGGCAGAACTACAACTGTAACATTTGTAGGCGTCGGATTGCCGAAAACCCGGTTACCAGAGGCACTGATATGGACCCGGTGCCTACCGGTAGTCCGGGTGAGTTGGTGGCCGTGAGACTGGTAACAGGGCGTAAAGCAATGTTCAGAGGCCGGCTGGAAATTCTAACAAGTCTACCGGACCCATCGCCTGCGGTGTTGCTGGAGGAAAAGCCGTTTGGGTTCGTTGTAGAGAGACCAGCCCCTGAGGTGCTTTGAGCATCACCACTACCCCCAGTTCCCACTGTCTGTCCAGAAGTAGGGGTGGCAACAATTGAGCCGAAAGCACCAGTCTCCCTGCTTGTACCTGTTTCTCCAGGAGCAGTGAATTGGCCAGCACCACTGGTTTGAGATGTGCTGATGAAACCGCCCACTGACGTAGTGTTGGACGTCTGAGTCCTCTCCGAGATGGTTAGCTCGGCACTGCCCGATGTGGCCGGAAGATCAACACCGGCGTCGCCGGTACTGTCAATTGTGGCCGTGACGTCGGAGCTGGTGAGCACCGCGGAGCCAGCATTTACGGACCCGCTCGTAGGTGAAGGAGCACCTGCCGGACTCTCAACGCCCGATGCTCCATTTGCAGTGCTGGTTACCGTGACAGATGCTGTGGTGAACACAACGCCATCATTTGTGGTGGTAGCAATCACCGTGGGAAGGACTACACCGCCGAGTCCGGTAATTATTTCCGTTGCCGTCCCAGAGACGATAGTGGTGGTGGCGCCATTGATATATGTGGTGACTTCTCGGAGAACACTTGTCCCGTTGGTCGTGACTGGTCTAACAATCGTCTTGGGAATGATATTGGAGCATGACCATGCGGTCTCATACACGTTGTACCACGAAGCTGAGGAGTGATATTCATCTCTGTAGCTCCAATATACAGCGCCATCCACTGCAGTAGAATTACTCCAGATTCGCGTACTAGTAGCCCAACCGGTAGTGAATCCGGTAATAAATCCTGGTGTGGACAATGATGCGGGGTTGTTGCTGATAGAAGCGAGCACAGCGGATGTATCCAACGAGGAGGTGGGAGTTCCACTGACAAGCTCTGCAATATCGCAGTTGCCCGAAGCATCACCCGCTCCGAACGTCGCTGTGTGAATGAGGGTCACGGTTCCGTTGCGGGGGACAACGTCGGTGGTATCCCTGCTGAACACGCAAATGCCACGACCAGTGACGGGGTCGGACGTAAATGTGGCTGTTTGGCACTCGTCCTGACGGAACTTCTCATTGATGAAGGAGCATTGTGCGGCGCAATCTGTTGGTCCTGCCACCTCCATAAAAAGGATGACGTCGTTTTGAACCGCGGCCGTGTCGCAAAGAACTTCGCATTCATAGCGCCTGTCGCCCGCAACATTGGTGATGCGCTGGCCATTTTGACCTGGGCAGCTGAAGGGCAAAGCGGCAACTTCTGAGCTCGGTAACCTTGTTGGCAAAGTCAGACTATTGTCACTAGTAATGACCGTTGCGGTGCGCGACGTTGAGAAGGAGTCGGTGATTGTCGACGATGCGACTACCGCCGCATCCGTGCTGGGCTCGGCTGATGCTGAGGAGGTAGCATTTTGTTGAGAAGCCGTCGGCTCTGAGCCAGCGGATGTCTGGCTGGCACTGTTTACATACTGGACCACGGTACTGTTATAGATGCGAGTCACGACCTCTGTTTTCACGAACTGTGCATAGATTGTGACAGTTGTTTGCTGAGATCATGTCAGTCGATGCTGCCACAGTCATACAAAAGAACATACAGCGGGTGGCGCAGTGAAGGTCACTGTGTCTGTCGAGGTTGGGGCAACGTTGAGTGCTGAACAGGCTGTTGACATGTCCATTATCACTTGCTCTCGCTCGGCGTTTGTGGCCGCTGGTGCAATATATGACCCGGTTGTTTCGGCAATTGATCCGGCAACCAGCAATGACGTGAACACATCCTGAGCAACAGCGGTGGCATTGGGTGTACGAGCAGCCAATGTGGGTTGATTCTCCAAACTAGTCTCCGTTATCGTGACAATGGTCCGTGTGGTCGATGTGGTCGTTAAAGTAGTGGTTCTTGTATTGTATCGGGTGCTGTATTATTGGCGAGCTTCATGTCCAACGTTTTTTGGATAGGAAAGGACATGTACAAGGCAGCTGGTGTATAATCCACGGTTACCGTTGTAGGGTCTAGGGGACCGATAAGTTTGTTGCAGACTTCCTGAGTGTCCTCGGGGGACCCATCCCGGAGGATACGGTACGATGCGGTTTCCCACCATACAAGTGCAGGTTGTTGGCGCTTTGCGAACAGCGTCTGGAGCCGCGAGAGTGGACCACTGTGCCCATCCTTCTCTTGCGCTGAGGGGACCACAAAACCAGATGCTACTCTGTGCTGGGCAACTGCGGCGTCGACATCTGAAGAAAACGAAAGGAGAATGGCATAAGCCAGTAACGAACGAGGGAAATACATGATCCTGCACTCAAGCGAGTGAGACTGGCCTGGATCACACGAAGAAACGGACAAGGAGCAACTGCTCAGACGAGATGACAAGCTTAGGACGACATCGACTGTCTATCTTTATAAGAAGCAATGAACTCGAAAGCGACGGACATTCTGACAGCGTTCAGTATAACGCCCTTGGTGGGAATGTGCCTTGCAGGTTGGACAACGGTACGAGTTTCATCCAATATCGGCTTCTAACCCGTTACCTCCTCCTTAGAAGGAGGAATGTTGATCAGAACACGCCAAGACCCCTTTCTGTGGCGCATGTTATCACCAAAGGGATACTTTCGCCCCATGAGTAGCATAAAGGTTCAGAATTCAAAGATGCTGGCGCTGTTGGTCATACTAAATGGACTTCCTCAACAACCATTTGGTTCCTCACAACAAGAAAGACAGACCAGGACAAGGTGCTTGACAAAAATCATGGCGAGATATGAGAAGTTCAAGAGCTGACCGTGGAGGGGTGAATGTGTGAGGTGGAGAGTGATCGCGGCGCGTTCAACTGTCAGGGCGTGCGCGACAGGGATAGCGCGGGATCTACGCGAAGCGAGCCAGTAGCGCGGGTCCCCCGGCAATAGCTCGGCGCTTCTTCTGACCTCACTTCGTGCCCACCCCAACCTCCTCCGTATATCTCTCGAGCCTTCAGTCGCATGTGCGAACTGCCATAATTATCTCGGGCCCTTCATTCCATGGGCGTGTGCCAGTCTTGCCTGGGTATTGGGCGCCGCCCCTCCGATTCGGCGGTAAGTGGGATGACCAGTGTTTAACGTTCAATTCATTGACATCCCCTTGCGCAGCGTTCAGATACTTCGCACCTCCTAGGCGATTCCTACCAGCCACAATATGGGAGCATCAATCCCGCAGCCTCGCACAGTGGTCGGCAGATTGACCCCGAGGAGATTAGACGCCAACGGGACGCGTTGGAGCGTATCTGCGCGCAAACTTCCGAGTGAGTTCATCACCACACTTTGATCCTCGCGGCGCTGACACCTTTCCCCCTTGTGCGCAGTAAGTTAATCCATGTCTCACAAGCGACATACGCCGAAGACGGCTGGAAAATGATCTCCGAATACCAACGGCTCTTCAACGAGCGCTTCCCCCCTCTCAAAACCGAACCCAGTCGACCTTCCTCTGCGGATGCCACACAAGAAGAAGACGAAGCCACATGGCTCGGAAAGATTGTCGGCGACTCAACCGACCCCGAGGGAAGCTGGGAGCGCGTCGAGCCTGTCGAATCCGGAGCCCTCACCTTCCAGTTTGGTGAGGCCCTTGGTTCAGATCGGCGACAGTTGCGGTGACACACGGGAAACCCCCTCGAAGAGCTCCTCTATTTCATATATTGCTTGTTTTACAACCTCTCATGCAAGAACACCTCATTACCGATACCCTCTGTCTCTTAGTTGTACCGCGCCCTCATAGGCATATTTTTATTTCAGTCGTGGTCGCATCGCATCCTTGCATAGTCTTGGATTTGCATACTAGTATAGTTATCAATTTCTATCATTTTCATTCAATCACCGTTTCTCTGGTCGATGCCGGGAATCTCCCATTACACACATGTCTGTTTGATTTAACTTGCACCAGGACCCAGCGCTGCAGTGAAATGGCAAAGCTCCGGATTCGCGATCTGGTAAGTCGTGGCCCACCACATACATGTTGACTCATGGATAACATTGGTGGTAGTTTACTCTATGATTGTCCTCACTCTATGTGGTCCTCGCTCCCAGGAAGAATCTCCCAAGGAGACGACGTTGCACCAAAGGGTGAAGTTCTGTACACGTTTGCCACACATTATGCAGGGGATCAAGGCCGCCGGATCGTATGCTCCCTGCCTGAAAAAGGAAAAGCTCCACTGGATATCACCGCCCCTTTGTAAGAAATGACATTACATGCTCTCACACTCTGTGAACATGGTATCCACCGCTCACCCTCGGCCATCTCACCACTTCTATCCCTACCATCAGATCCTTCTTCTGATGCATGGTCTAGTGTGGCTCGGCCTCTTGGAATATCCGATTACCTCCATCCTGCTCTGTACGGGCCGTATCTGCGAAAGGATCTGAGCCAGTTCGAGGCGGAGTAGCGCGGAAGAGGCCCGCCGGCGGCAAGCTGGAGCCCTGACGCGGCTTGATCGGGCTAGTCCTGGCGTGCTCCTGACGCGGTCTTGGAGGCGTGACACTGAACAGCCCAAGCGGCGGTGCCTTTCCGGACATGTTGGTCAACGCGATTGCTGATTCTTGCACTTGCTTGCTCGGAGTTCCCGGCACATAGTTCCTTGCCACCTCGAACTGGCTCAGAATGCGAGCAGTGGTGTCTGTGATCAACCGATCCAGTTCGGCTCGCTGCGGAAGTGATAGAGAATCAAAGGTCGAATCAAAAGTGAGTGTGAACTCCCGACGCACACCCGGAGGGAGAGCCTCGTTGATTTTGGTAACCCACGGCTGGACAGCCAAGATAAGACCGCCCTGCAGGGCGATCTCAACGTCGCTGTCAACAGTCCCCTGCCGGAAGCGGCGGGCGTCGTGGTTGTTCATATACTCGCGGATGGTGTAAGGAGAGGTTGACATCTGCCATCTGTGTTAGTGGTTATTCCCGCCCACTCATATATATCCCCCACTGACCTGCTCAGTTTCTCTGGACTTGCTACCGCCAACATACACTGATTGCTCCCGCAAATACGCCTTAGCTCTGTCCTGAATGGTCTTGTGAATATCAGCTGCCGAAGGACGCGGTAAAAAGAGCTTGCACGGGAAACTAACCGTCGACATGGGTGGAAACGTGCAGATGGGTTGACTGCGACTCAGCAGGTGTTCGGTGTACCGGTTTTCGGGACGATCGACGCCGTGGAGTTCGAGTAGTTCTTGGATCGTGCTGTCGCCGCCGATGCGCCCAGCCACTGTTTGACGTACTGCTCCCCCCCGAACATGTGGTCTGCCGACTTCCGACCTGATGGTCAAGTTCTCCAGTCCGGCATTGGACGTCCCGGGGCTTTTAGACCCATAAAGCGTCTTGCGTCGCTTTGAGGACGCTTCAGTCTCAGTGAACACATCATCGTCGGCATCGTCCATGACGGACTCGGTCTTTTCAGCATCGGACTCGTCAATCACTCGACCCTTGCCCTTCCGTTTGTTATTTTGGCGGCGCTTGGGGGCGGCTCGTTTCTTCGTTGCAGTTGCTGGTGTCGGTGAGCCATGGACATCAGTGTTTGCTGCAGCATCGCGCTTGCCTTTCCCCGTCCTACCGCTGGAACCAGCAGATGCACTTCCAACATTCGAGGATGCTGCAGCCGCTCCGCCGACACCGCCATCCGCTCGATTCAATATCTTCCTCCTGACGGGTGTGACGGGCAATCCAAGCGCACTCAGCGTCGTCGCAATCCCCAGATTTCCATGCACCAAGGGCGCGCCGTTTCGAGCGTCGAAGCAAGGTGTACAGACTTGATAAGTGCATCCGGGACAACGGCGCATGGTTGCCATGTTGCGGAGGTCGCAGATGGCGCACTTGGCCGTGTGGATGTTGACGGTGGTGTACAGGGCGGGGTCGGACGTGCAGTCCATGACGCGGTTTATGGAGAGGATGTCGTTGATGGGCGTCGAGGTGGTCGTTGTGGGGATGGACGCAGGTGGTAGCGGCGGAGGGGACATGGAGGTGCCTGGATTTGGCGTCGGCGACATGGACATGGCTGTGGAAAGCGGGGATGTTGAGGGTGGAGCGGGAGTTGAGGTCTTCTGCGGGCTTGGGGCGTCAGGCCCCGGAGAGGTAGACATCGCTGTGTTGGTCGGTTGGTGTTTTTTGCTTGTTTGTTGTCGTCGCTTCAGTTCGATGGGAGGAAGGGAGGCGGAAGGAGGGGTTGGGTGTATGTATAGCTTGAGGCGGCTATTGTCCTATTGTTCGTATTGTTGTGCGGAACTGACTGCGAGCCGGTGTGAGCAGGTCAAGTCAAGAGAGATCACGTGCGTGTGCGTGTGCGCATATGACAGAGGGAAAAGAAGGCGGTGACTGTCGCGAGGCTCGCTAAAAGGACTCCTGCTGAAGCAATGTCTCTTCGTACAATGATGACTGAAGGGGAAGTGAGGCGTTGACAGAGAAATGACTGAAATGACAGACAGTAGCAAAGGTTTCAGGTTTCAACGCCAGGCAGCGAACGAAGAAAGGAAAGAGTCAAATCAGGAGAAGATAGTTGAAGCGCACTGACATGAGCGTAGGGTGGCCTCTGAAATTACCGCTATGTCCCGGTCGAGCTTGTAACAGTTGGAAAAGATCTGGGGATGGACTGTGCTGAAGCGATGGGAGGGGGAGCTTGGACCGTACTACCTGTTTATTGAAGTATCGTTGTCGAAATAGAGGGCAGGGGTCACGGAGTAGGACTTCGAGCTTGTGGACTGAGACGTTGAGGTAGGTCTGGGTGTTGCGCATGTAGAGGTCAGTGATCCGACTTTGGAGCGTGGCAGGCCGACACCGTTGGTCGACTCGAGGCGGCCTGGTGCTGGTTGGCGCGTCCGCTTCTGGGCCGGTCTGGTAGCGTTTGTACCTTTGTACGGTGGACCTACCTCGGCGTCTGAATTCCGTGTGGAGGCAGGCAAAGCAGTTTGTATGTCGTCTCCACTGCTTCTGGTTGGGTTCAAGGTTGCCCAGGGTGTGATCCTTACGTTGCTGGAGTGTGACCAATGAGAAGTGGGTTTGAAGAGTGAGGATAAGGATGCACGGTGAAGAGCAAGAGACCAGGACGGCAAACCAGTCTCGAGCAGCAGCGAGTACTCGTCAAGTATACGAGTACATCTACCTTTTGAGCAAGTATCGAGGACTAATCGATGGGTTGGGAGGGGAGTACTCGGTATTCGAAGAGCGGAGAATCTCGGAGCACTCGCAGTTGAGGAGGATAGCAGCTCAGCTCGTTATGCTACAAAAGGCGGTATGAGGTCGCCTTATATGCCGGCATTGTCGGAAAGCCAAGGCAGCCTGGAAGAGGTGTCCCCTGTTCGCTGTTGAGGCACGATGTCCAGTGAAGTGGAGTGCATGTGGGGCTGGGAGGGAAATCGGAGGCAATGCTTTAAGGATGTTTGCGCGTAGAGGGGCTGTGTCACGGGCGACGTGAATGGTTGTGCCTCTGTGAATGGAGGAGCCGGCGGCGGTTCGGGTTAGAGAAAGATGGGTGATGTGTGAGTGACTGCCGGGACTGAAAACATGGATGGGAGGCTAAAGTTGGGTAATACAAGGAAATTGCTCGACTTCGGTTTGCAGAGATTTAGGATGTAAGTTTCGAAAATTGTGTGAGCTGGAGCTTCCTGAAGGCACGAACCAGCGCCTGTAGGGGCAGTGAGCCACGCATGATCAATAGCACTCAAACAGATCATTGGGGACATATTGATAAACTCAGGGACTCTAGTAAATAAAATACCGGACGCGTCGTACTTCGAAGAGTTAGGGAAGCAAGGGGATGATCAGAGACAGATAGTCAATTCCGACTGCCCATGCAATCAGGGTATCCTGGGTACTGTGAATGTGTCTAGATTCGAGACAAACGAGACGCAGTTTCAGGATGGGAACCGTCAATTAACCACAGTTTCTCAAACGGCGTACCGCCTTCCGTGTGATATACCGCGTGCCTCTAAGTTAGAAATCACGAAGCGCCGATACCGCGAGATCAAACGGAGCCGCACTGCCCGCGGTGCCCATAACTCAACAAACAGAACCGTCTCTTAGCTGATGTTTAATCTGATCTAAAGCTCTGCTGACCCTACCAAGAGGAGTCACAAGAAAAAAGTTGAGATGCGTCTCCCCCTGACGGGTGAATAAGGATGTCACGTGCTCCAGTCGACCGACTTCCTTGATGGTAGGCACGGCATTACAAGGCCAGAGGCGTGAAAGCTGGTTACTCATTATTTCTTTGAAGTTTCATAAATTCATTGTGCTTTTGAGAACCATGCATGTTGTCGTCACGAGGACCGATGACCAATCCTGCTATGGTAAGCGTGGACCTTGGAACTGGGATTGTCGGGTGGACTTGCTCCTGCTTCCTGAACGTCGTCTCTTTCTCAGATGCAACTCACGCCATGTCATCCTCACTCTTAGTCTTTTGTTCGATACCAACTCTTACACTGGATTCTTCTCTGCACCGATTGCGAGGAATTGGTGCCAGCCATCTCACGTAATCACACCCGCTTTCTTTAAAACTTGTTACTCTGGATCGGAGAACGGCGAGAAATGCAACACCTGGCGTCGGAGAACTGCGAAGAATCAACCAACGGTGGTGAGCGAACTCCTCCTCGCCATGCAGAAAAGGACTTCCGAGTTCCCCTTCGAGAGAATCTGGCGGTATGGAGAGTCCCAGCATTGGGGTCGAGGCTTCGGGTGAGCGGGGAGATGCCCTTGGCTGCCTTCGTGCAACTCTCACAACTCGTCTTCCCGGCTGCCACGTCCTCACCTTACCTATCTGCCAAAGTTATTTGTTCTCAACTTTCTCTGGCTCGGTTAACCCCGCTAGTGGCGGTGCCGTAATCGTGCATCCACCTGCATAATCCCACGACACTCCAAACGGGCTTTGTCCAGGCACCGAGATGAACTCCAATATTGACGGCCTCACCCAGTTCTCACTTTTGCCTTAAAAATAGTTGGCGTTCGCTCACTTCAGCTTCTGGCTATCCTTGGATCCCGATTCACTCTTTAGCAATTTGCTCTCTGCACTTCCCGTCTCTGCCCGTCGGACCAACGCCGATTTATTGGCAATTTGCAAGAGAAGCAGTGTCTTGCCATCATGACGATTATACTGTCCTTGCATGAGCCATCCTCCCAAGCGAAAGCTCTAGATATCCTCGGTAACGTACACGGCCCCCTCGTCGGCGCACTCTTCTGGGTTTCTACCTTCTATGGCTTCGTAAAACTGCACAGGCCAATCGAGATTTCCCGGAAAAAAAGAGCCATAGCGACGACACTGGTCACCGTGCTCCCCATAACGTATGTGGCCGAAGTGCTGTATTACTTTGTCAGCTGGGCATCCGGAGGTAGCCAAGCGTCCAAAGGAGCCATCAACAACTGCCTATGGTCTATCCTTTTCATGACCACAGTCAATGTCAAAATTTTCCGTGCTGAAAAAGCGCGATGGTTCTCTTGTCTTGGAGCATTCGTTCTGGAGTTTGCTCTCAACACTACGATCCTTTGTTTGAAAGCAATTACATCGAGAGAACTTGGCCGCTATGTGGCTGCCTCGCTGATTATCCAGTTTCTCAGAACCACTGTTTCTTTAGCACTCGTCATACAATGGTTGACTGTGCTTCCCAGGAGAGCAGTAAAATTGGGTACCGATGAGGAAGGCCAGTCGTTGCTCAGCGACCACGCGAACGGAAGTCCAACCTTGAAAAAACATACGCCCTACGGAACCGTGGGTGGAGGCCCCTCTGATACCGGGAAACACGACGATCGCGATATGGAGATCAAAAAACTGCAAGCAGAAAGAATTGAGAAGGAGGGTGGTTGGGTAGGCTATCTGAAAACATTCGCAGTGTTCCTACCGCACCTCTGGCCAACCAATGACCGTGAACTCATGATTTGGCTGTGCGTCCGTGGAGCCAACATCCTTCTTTCCAGCATTCTACAAGTGCTCACGCCCCGACAGCTTGGCATCATTACCGATAAATTATCATCAGGAATCACTACTATGCCATGGCTGGATATAGCGCTATGGCTGCTGTATTCATTTCTACCCACCTACGCGGGATTTGGCGCTCTGGGTGCGCTTGCCTCGATTAAAGTCAGGACCAGAACGTCTTCAAGGATCCAACTTTTGGCTTTTGCCCACGTCATGGATCTCTCGATGGACTTCCATGCAAACAAGGCGACAGGAGAAGTAATCAAAGCTGTGGAGCAGGCCACTTCCCTGAACCGCCTGGTCGAAACAGTGCTTTTCGAGATTCTACCTATGATCATCAACATCTGCATCTCCGTATGGTATGTTACGCACCTCTTCGATCTATATTTTGCGTATATCATCATTTGTATGAGCGCTCTGTATGTGACGATTGAGTTTATCTCCACCGCCTGGAGTCGCGAACATCTCCGTTTGTACCGAGCAAAGTGCAGAGCGGAGAGCCAAATCTCGAACGAGTCGCTCCATAACTGGCACACTGTCTTCTACTTCAACCGCGGCAAATATGAAACCACGCGTTTCAACGAAGCTCTGAAAAGCCGCATCATGGCGAGCTTTGATTACCAGATTCGACGCATGTCCTGCTATGCCTTGTCAGATGGCTTCTTGTATCTGGCCCAATCGGGATGCTATATTCTGGCCATCCATCAGATCGTCAAGGGATGGAAGCCTGTCGGAAACCTAGTGACATTTATTATGTACTGGTACACCATCATCAGCCCCGTCAGAAGTCTCGCTTTCAACTACAGGACGCTCACAGAGAATCTCATTGATGCCGAACGTTTGGTCCAGCTTCTCAGCACCAAGCCCAGCGTGGCCGATGCACCGGGCGCCAAACCGCTTGTCACCACGGAGGGCAAGGTCGTCTTCGATAACGTGGGCTTCTCCTACGATGAACGCAAGCCTATCACCCGGGATGTTAGCTTGATAGCCGAAGGCGGCCAAACCATAGCCCTCGTAGGCGAAACCGGTGGCGGCAAGTCTACTCTGCTGAAGCTCCTCGCGAGAGCCTACGATGCAGTGGGCGGCTCCATATCCATTGACGGGCAAGACATCCGGTCCGTTACGCGCTCCAGCTTGCGCGACGCCATGGGCCTTGTTCCCCAGAGCCCCGAGCTCTTCAACATCCCCATCCGCGAGAATGTTCGATACGGCCGGCTCGATGCCACGGATGAGGAAGTCGAGGACGCCTGCCGCGCTGCTGCGATCCATGATACCATCGTCGAGTTTCCGGACGGCTACGACTCGCTTGTGGGTGAGCGCGGCGTCAAACTGTCAGGAGGCCAGCTCCAACGTGTCGCCATTGCGCGCGTTCTCCTGCGCGATCCGAGCATCGTGTTGCTGGACGAAGCGACGAGCGCCGTGGATTCGGCAACCGAGGAGCTGATCCAGAAGGCCTTCAGGAAGCTGTGTGCGGGGAAGACGACATTCGTCATTGCCCATCGCCTGAGCACCATCGTGGAGGCCGATCAGATTCTGCTCGTCAGCAAAGGCGAGATTGTCGAGAGGGGCTCGCACGACGAGTTGTTGGCTATGGGAGGCAAGTATGCGGAGTTTTGGAACAAGCAGAGTGGAGGTCAGGGCGTTGGTGAGTGCGCTACGTGCAGCTCCACGCTGAGATGTACGGATTGTGCGGCTTCGGGTAAGACATCGGCGACGGCGTCGACGTGTGTTGACGCGAGTGAAGAGGGTGCGGCGGTTGATGAAGGCGTGGCACAGGGTGCGGGCACGCAGGCCGAGGACACGGGCAAGGCGGCTGGGAGCTCGGCGGCTACTCAAGGAGACAATATCAAGAACAGGTGACCAACCCAAAGTTATAGGGCGATGCCGTAGCAGGACTTTTGGGCGTTGAAGACCGTTGAGAAGTGCTAGGGGAAAAGCGAAACGGCTTAGAATGATAATTGTAGTAAGGCAACTTTCAGTAATCCGTAGAGGTTAGAGTATAGTGCTAACTCATTGGCGCACTGAACGTAAAAGAGAGAAAGGACTATAGTGTTTAACACAGGCATCAGGAACGGGATGGTTGATATAGAATGGATAGGGTCTAAATATTTCGCCTTCTTTCAGCCACAGCTTATGTTCAAAAATCGTGCTATATCCATAGCCACATGCACATCCTTGACATCAACACTTACCCCTTGCCCACCCAACCCGTCACTGCCCCACAGGCGTCAGCTTCACCCACAAGCCATTCCTCGGCCTCGCCGTAATCCCGCCCGTAATATCAATCTCCTCTTCCTCATCCCTCAACCGCATCTCAAACGCTCCCACCAGTGCCGCCATCAAACACGCAAACTCGCCCTTGGCGAACCCCATGCCGATGCAACTCCTGGGTCCATGCAGGAACGTCGTCGAGGCGAAATTGCTTTCGGCGCCGCCAGTATTGGCTCTCCCGGGACCGAGCCAGCGGTCCGGATTGAAGGCGCGGGCGTCTGGGCCCCAGAGAGCGTAGGACGTGTTGATGGCCCAGGGGGAGATGATGACGGTCGTGGAAGGCGGCACCGGGTGATTCGCGATGGTAGTGTGGTACGGGGGTGATTCGCGCAGGGTCTGTGGGACCGGGGGAAACAGGCGGAGGGATTCGGACAGGACGGCGGAGAGGTAGGGCAGGGCATCGATGTGGCGGGATGTGATTTCCTCCCCTGCATCGTTTCTGCCAGAGGCGGAGTGCAGGGCGGTGAGAATGCCGGAGGAGCGGAGCTCGTCGCGGAGTTTGGCCTGCACGTCCGGGTGCTTGCAGAGGAGGTAGACGGCCCAGGTGACGGCCGAGGCGGTGGTTTCGTGACCCGCGGCGAGGAAGGTCATGAGTTGGTTGATGAGGTCGTCGTCGCTGAAGCCGCCGGATTCAATGGCTACGGAGAGGATGTCTAGGTCTCTCGCCTTTCCGTCGGCCAGATTGGCCCTCTTCGTCTGGATCAAGTCCTTCGCTACCTTCTTGATCGTGACAATGGCTTTTTTAATCTGCGTATTTCGCTCCAAGGGGAGGAGATCCAGGAGCTCTTCTGGGAGGAGCATCATGATCAGTTGGAAAATGCGTCTGCCTCTCATGGGACTGAAAATGGTGCGGTACGTCTTGAAGAGTTCGTTGTCCGGGTCGGCGAGAGAGTGGAAGTCTTGACCCATGCCGGCGACGCCGATGATGTCGAGGGTGGCGCGGGAAGCCCAGTCGCGGATTTCGACGACACTGGGGTCCGTTGTGGTTGGCGATTCCGTGTTAGCGGAAGGGGTTGGAGGAGATTGGATGGTAGTGAGCATGGCTTGCACCATTTCACGAGACTTGGACCAGAAGATGGGGTAGAGGTCTTTGATGTGGCGGAAGGAGAAAGCGGGCATGAGGGCTTTTCTTTGGCGCTGCTAGCTGTTAGCGGTGGCTATATCTATATAGTGTGTCTACTGGAACATGCCTTGTGCTCGTCACTGAGGGAGAGTTAGTATCGATCGAAATATGGAAAGTGGCCCAAGACTCACCCTTCAGCTACCAGAATTCCAACACCCAAAAGACGACCCAAGCCTTTTCGGAGCCGAGCAGGTTTGGTGAATTCATAGTTTCTCTGGACGAGAACTTCGGCTAAGGCCTTCGGACTAGTGATGAGGACTCTTGGTCGGTTGAGAAGCCATCGATAATAGATGACGCCGTCGTTGGGTACGCTGTCAATCCAATCTCTTTGGGGCTCTCCAGTCGGTTCTTGGAAAATCCTCTTGTAGTGGCCAAGAAGGAAGTTTGCGCCCTGTGCGCGGTCAACCTTTCACCTTTTGGGGAGAAAATAGATTATAGACGTACTGGGGCCTGTGGAAGGTGCCGCAGAGGGCTGAAACAGAAGGGGTAGATGATGATTTCCCAGATGAGGTTCGCCGATTGCAAGGTTAGATAGAGAGCCACCGCATTCCACAAGAAGCTGTGTGAGAAAACCAATAGAGTATGAGAATAATGTGAGCCGATGAATGAAATGACAATGGCTGAGAGTAGCCACAGTCTGAAGTGCACCGCCATGGCGAAAGGAAGGGAGTGACGACGCTGAGGTAGAGAGGGGACAGCGAGAATTATAAGATAGACAGGAAAGAACTCTAGAAGATGGATAGATGATATATCGGTGTCCAGGCAGATATGTAGAAGGCTACCGTTGCATAGCCCCCGTCTCGTCCGTGAAGTTGGACCGAATGGAGTCGAGTTGCCGTTTAGCGTACCGGGCCGGGCGAATCTATCCCTCCGCTGCCAATAAGACTGTCTGGTATACTAGACCTTTAGATGTAGTTGTACTCTGTAAAAGCCGCTTGAGTTTATAGTGCGCTCACCTGACTGGCCAGGACCTACATGTTATAGATTAGTCGAGTAGGAAGCCTTCGTTGGGCCGATTTTCTTTGGTAGATGGAGTGGTCCTGAATGTCTCCGCATAAGCTTTTCCTAAACAGGAAGTCGCGCAACCTTGGAAAGAAAGTGGCGCAACGCGAAACGCGTCCCACCAAATCGCGTCCCCCCATCACCACAAACCAACTCGACTTCCGCTATTCTCAATTAACACAACGAAAAGGAAAATCCACCATGCCGCACTCTATATCGCCCGAATCGACGCCCATCGACGACCCCGCCCCTACAACATCACAAATCGACACCGCCTCGCATGCTAGATCACACGCCGACGTGCACTCTCAAGATCAAGATGTCGCCATGGGAGAAGCAGACAACGCAGATGCAGAACAGTCAAAAGTCAAACTGGAAGAACTGTTTGACGACGAAGATTCAGACGAGGAGTTTCCTTCGAGCGCACCGCAAGTAAAGTCCGAAGACGAAGAAGAAGAAGAAGCACCTACAACCCCAATGTAAACTCCCCCGCACGCACTTCTGTACAAACTCATGAACAAGAACTCACGCATCCCCAGAAACATATCCTCCAAAACCAGCTTCTCGGACCCTGAAATCATGCGCGCCTTCTACCAACGCCTCTTCCCCTTCCGCTACCTCTTCCAATGGCTCAACCACTCGCCCAACCCCTCCGACGGCGTCGACTTCAAACACCGCGAATTCGCCTTCACCCTCCCCAACGACGCCTACCTGCGCTACCAATCCTTCCCCACCGCCGACCTCCTCCGCAGACAGTGCATCCAGCTGCTGCCCTCGCGCTTCGAAATCGGCCCCGTCTACAGCACCAACCCGCGCGACCGCAAGACGCTGCGCAAAGCTAGCGCCTTCCGCCCCGTCTCCAAGGAACTCGTCTTCGACATCGACATGACCGACTACGACGACATACGCACCTGCTGCACGGGCGCCAACATCTGCCACAAGTGCTGGGCCTTCATCACCATGGCCATCAAGGTCGTCGACGTCGCGCTGCGTGACGACTTCGGCTTCAAGCACATCCTCTGGGTCTACTCGGGGCGTCGCGGCGCACACGCCTGGGTCTGCGACAAGCGCGCCAGGGAAATGGACGACGCAAAACGCCGCGCTGTAGCGGGGTACCTCGAGCTGCTGAAGGGCGGCGATCAGAGCGGCAAGAAGGTCAACGTCCGGCGGCCCCTGCACCCGCACCTGGACCGCAGTTTGAACATCCTGAAGGAGCATTTCCAGACCTCCATCCTGCTAGACCAGGACCCCTGGGCCGGGGAGAAATGCGCTCATCTCCTCCAACTCCTGCCCGACCCGTCGCTCAAGGCCGCCCTCCAGAGGAAATGGGACTCGGCGCCCTCGCGGCCCAGCGCCTCGAAATGGGCCGACATTGACGCCGTGGCCAAATCGGGCGCGCTGTCCAAGACCTCAAAGGATCTGCTCGAGGCGAAGCAGGATATCGTGCTCGAATACACGTACCCGCGCCTCGACGCCGAAGTGTCCAAGAAGCTGAACCATTTGCTCAAGAGCCCGTTTGTCGTGCATCCCGGCACGGGCAGGGTGTGTGTACCGATCGACACGAGGAAAGTCGAGGAGTTTGATCCCCTCGAGGTACCTACTGTGACGCAGCTGCTGAGCGAGATTGACGAGTGGGAAGGTGGAGACGAGGATGACAGGAAGGTTGCGGATTGGGAGAAGACGAGCTTGAAGCCGTATGTCGACTACTTTAGGGGGTTTGTTAGTGGGTTGCTGAAGGAGGGCGGCGCCAAGAGGAATCGCGACGAGGTCGATTCCATGGAGTTTTGATGGTGATGATTTGCTTGATACCACGATCTTGGCCGGCGTTTCCTGGGTAGTTTTTCTGGTCGGGTACGGTTTACCATGGTAACCTGGGATGGACGACGGATGTAAATGCTCAGACCAAATGAAGATTTCCTACTTTAAGACAGGAGTGGAAAGCGATACTCCATGACCACCCATTCGATGCTGGATCCTGTTCTCCTCGAGTAATTATACATATCGAAATCGCCTTGAACCCCTCGCTCATCATATCATGTCACTCCCCGCTATTTCCCCCTCTTCTCCTTCTCCGTCGCCGTCTGCGTGACATTGAGACCCAGACCGTTTGCATCAAGATACACCTTGTTCTGGCTCTGTTGCAGAATCTGTGCAATGCTCTTCGCGTTCTCAAACTCCCTCAGGTCAACATAGGACCTCGACTTCTTGATGGCGTCACCGATGAGCTCGGCAGAGCGGGCTTCACCCTGCGCGCGGACAACCGTGGCCTGCTTCTCCTGGCGGGCCTTGTCGACGACGAAGGCTGCGCGCTGGGCTTCTTGCTGGGCAACCTGTTTCGCTTCGACGGCGGCGGTGAACTCGGGGGAGAAGGCAAGATGCTGTCCAAGATGTCAGCATTTACACCTACCTTTACTGTAAAAAGAAACGGAGCCCTACCGTCAAGGAGACATCATCCAGCATGATGTTAAACCTCGCTGCACGCCGAACCAAGTTATCCCTCACAAGCCTGCTAACATTCTCACGCTGAGTGATCAGCTGGCTAGCATTGAACTGTGCCACCACGCTCTTCAGCACCTCATTCACAATCGACGGCAGCACCCTCTCATCGTAATCCGTGCCCAAGGTACGATAGATCTGGGGCAGGGCATCCACACGCGGTCTTGAAAGCACACGGCAGGTGATGTTGACCATCTGCAGGTCCTTTGTGCCGGTGAGGGAGGCGACATTTCGCGGCTTCGCGCGCACGTCGTACACGATGGGAGTTTCGAACCAGGGGATTCGGAAGTGCGTGCCTTCGGAGTAGATTTCCTTCTGCACGCCGCCTATCCGGGTATACTTGATTGCCCTGTGACCACCGTCGACTGTCGAGGGGAAAGGAGAGTTAGCTTGATGCTCTGATAGCTATTTGCCGCTTGGTATAAGATAGAGCTGTGTAATCATCCACCGAAGGAAAATGGAAAATGAAGGGGCACGAACCGTTGAACAGCGCATTATTCGCCAGCCATAGGCCTCCAGCACCTACAGCGATGACGAATCCAAGTGAACCCGCACCCTTGGGGGGACGAGCTCCGCCGCCAAAGCCTCGTCCACTCTGCTGCAGCTGCGTTTGCAGCTTGCGCCACATCTCTCTGGGATCCGGATTCGACATGTTGAGGGCGAAGCTCTGCGTATCGAGCGGCACTTGGAGTGGGAAGAGTCTGCGAGCGACGTCACTGAGTGAATGATGGGATGGGTGTCGACTTCTCGTCTCGTGAGGTGATGTTGCGTCGGACAAAAGTTTCGCGGACTCCGACCGGGATGGTGTTGCGGCGGGACAAGGATGCAGCTCCAAGAACGCGTAGAGCACGGATCATCAATCTATCTATGTCAGTGCCAACGGCTCTTTACTAAACGCATAGCTGTCCAGAAGCCACGGTGAACACGACGGCAGAAAAGAGTTCGAGCAATTTATATACGCCTGTTTTCCGGCCTGGCCCTGGAGGCCTTCCTCTGTACATCTCCTTTCTCAATTGCTGTTCCGAATCCCATTAGCTGGATTCCTTTTACCCCATACCATGTTGGCGACGTCGCACACATTGCGGGCCATTGCCTGCGCTGCGGCCATGATGCTCCCTATGGCTCGCGCGCAGTATGTCATTGACAATCTCAGCTTTGGCCATAAGGACGGCGAAAACATTTCTCCCAATCTGCGCGGAGTGCCGCATTTCTTCGCGACCGGGACCGACTACACCCCCGAGATTCTGTCCGACAGGATAGTCCTTACTCCGCCGTGGCCTGGTCAGAAACGCGGAGCGCTATGGAGCGAGGACCCGTTGCATCATTCAGGGGATTGGTCGGCGGAGCTCTGGTTCAGAGCGTCGGGAATGGAGCGCGGAGGTGGAAATCTGCAGCTGTGGTATACAAAGGAGCCGCAGAAGCACGAGGCACATTCGCTCTACACAGCGCCCAAGTTTGACGGACTGGTGCTGGTTATTGACCAGTATGAGGGAAGAGGAGGATCCATCAGAGGGTTTCTGAATGACGGGACGATTGACATCAAGTCGCAACCGGACCCGGATACGCTGGCCTTTGGACAGTGCAACTATCCGTATCGAAACCTGGGCAGGTTCAGCGATCTCAGGGTGCATCAAACCAATGGCGCTTTCGAGGTTACGATAGACGGACATATCTGTTTCTCCACCGATAAGGTACGCACTCTTGGAGTCCTCTGTCACTGTTTCTCCGCTGACCCGCAACCCAGGTCCGACTGCCAGAAGGCTACCACTTCGGCATCTCCGCCTCCAGCGCCGAAAACCCGGACTCCTTCGAGGTCCACAAATTCGTCGTCTCGACCAAGAACGCCTACACCCGCGAAGAGCCAAAGAAACAACCCTACATGGACGACCGCCACGCCCAGTCGCAGCAGCAAACCCAACACAACCCGCACCAACAGCAACAACCCATCAAGTCCAACAGCGACCCCACGCTCGGAGAGATCCCCCAAATGCTCTCCGACGTCCTAGCCGGCAGCATCCGCTCGCAAGCCGACCAATTCGCCGACCTGCACAACCGCATCCAGATCATCAATCACCGCGTCAACGACATCTACGACCTGCTACAGCGCATGGACCAGGACAGCCAGAACCGCTTCAACGACCTCATGCACCGCATCGTTCCCATCGAGGACCGCACCCGCGTCATGCATCTCATCATCGAGAACATTGACCGCACCACCAGGGAGACGGAGCGCGATTTGCAGAGCAAAGATTTCAAGGATGTGTTGAATACGGTGCACAATGCGATTCACGACACGCATCAGAGTCTGAGTGCGAGTATGCCGATTGCCATGGCGCATAGTAAGTTCCCCCATTCTTGGGATTCCCCCTGGTGGTGATGTAAAATAATGCTAACTTGGAGCAGTCGTCGGTAAGGAGAAACATAGCATGTCGACGTACATTTTCGTTGTCTTTGCAATCCAGATCATGGTCTTTGGTGCGTACATGGTGTACAAGGCACGGCGGAAGGCGGCGCCGAAGAAGTATCTATAAGAAGAGGGCCGTACCTGTTTATATGCGTATGTTTATCACCTTGTCGTTATGATTATCTGCGATTCTACGCGAAAGTCATACCGTCATACCCCTGTATGATTTTTTCCTGGGAATCGATGGCATTTTAGTGGCGTTTGAAAGGTGTTGACTCGGTTCACGTTTGTTACAATAAGAGGCATTGTATGTAAACTCTTGCGTTTTGGAATGAAGTCTGATATATATATATATATACCAAGGTAGTATGCGCGCTGGGTAACTATGCGAGAAACGCAAAGTTCTTGGAGAGAAATTCACCGTTCAACCCCCTTTGGACTAACTCACAGCATCAGTCTCACGTCATCCGCTACCTTGAACGGCGCATCTGTCTTCGCCCTCACCTCGTCGACTGTCACCCCATCCGCGAGCTCAATCAGCGTCAAGCCCTCTGTGAAATCGACATCGAAGACGCACTGCCACTTGTTAGCAAACACACCATTTTCCTAACCTCAAACGAAGCTGGGGAGTGACGCTCATAACATACCAAATCCGTAATAATCCTCGACACGCACGCCTTCCCAGTCAATGGGAACTCACACTGCTTCAGAATCTTGGGCCGCCCCTTCTTATCCGTATGCTCCATGGTCACCACCACCTTTGTCGCCTGCGGATTGCTGACCAGGTCCATGGCGCCGCCGAACCCCTTGACCTTACCGGGCAGCATCCAGTTAGCCAAATCCCCCCGAGCCGAAACCTGCATGGCTCCCAGGATGGTCAAGTCGATCTTGCCCGCGCGAATCATACCGAACGATTCCTCGGAGCCGAAGCACGAAGCTCCGGGGAGCAACGTGACGGTCTCCTTGCCCGCATTGATGAGATCGGGATCCTCCATGCCCTTCTGCGGATAGGGTCCCAGGCCCAGGATGCCGTTCTCGGACTGCAACTGCACCTCGACGCCGGGATCGACGAAGCTGGGAGCCAGCATGGGCATCCCGATGCCCAGGTTCGCATACATGCCGTTCTTGAACTCCTTCGCCGCGCGCCGCACGATGCGCTCGCGCTTGCTTCCCGCGTCCCCGGTCCCCAGCGCCGCCTGTTTCATCTCCTCGGGCGTCTTCGCATTGACGACCTTCTCGATCCCTTTTTCCGCCGTGCTCTGCACCACGCGATCGACATAGATACCTGGGACGTGAATCGCATTAGGCGCAATCTCGCCAACCTCAACAATGTGCTCGGCCTCGACAATCGTCACTTTCGCATTCCTCGCCATGGCGCCGTTGAAATTCTGCGCCGCGAGCCGGAACTCCAAGTTCCCCAGCTTGTCGGCCCGGTACGCCTTGACGAAGGCGTAGTCCCCCCTGATGGCCTCCTCCATGACATAGCTCTTGCCCTCAAACACCCTGACGTCGCGCGGCTTCCCGTACTGCGCCACGCTGCCATCGGGGTTATGCCTTAGCACCAACTCGCCCGTCTGCACGACGGTCCCCAGAGCCGCGGGCGTGAAGAAAGCGGGTATCCCCGCGCCGCCCGCTCGACACCGCTCGGCCAGCGTGCCCTGCGGCGTGAGTTCGAGCTCCAGCTCGCCCGACAGGTACATTTGCTCGAGCAACCGGTTCTCCCCGACGTAGCTCGCGATCATTTTGCGTATCTGCTTGCTTTCGAGCAGGAGGCCCAGGCCGCCGCCTACGACGCCCGCGTTGTTGCTTACGGCTGTGAGGCCGTTGATTTCGGGTTTGCCGCGCAGGGTGCTGATGAGCGTGTCTGGGACGCCCGAGAGGCCGAAGCCGCCGCAGAGGAGCGTGCTGTTGGGTTGCATGTCGGCGATGGCGGACGAGGCGGACGGGTAGACTTTGTTGATTGCATGGCGGTGGATGGTCGTGGAGAAGGTGCGGGTGAGGTTGAGGTAGGTCTGCGCGTGTTGTGTCAATATAAGATACTAGAAATTGCGATATTGGGGAATTGAGGGTTGGAAGCTGGGGAAGTTTTGTTATTACCTTTGTTGTGCTTCTTGAGAAGTGTGAAGCTATTCGGTATGTGCGGGATATCGACGGCATTGTAGCTGTTCCGGCCCAAGAGGTCTTTCTCTCTCGTCTTTCCTTTCAGAACGAATCCCACCAACCGGAACAGAATAACACGTACAAGAAACGAGAAGAAAGGAAAGCTAAAAAGAAAAATCGTGGAGGAAGTTTCGACTCAAGAGAAACGCGACCCCGTCTCATCTGCCACTCCTCCCCACGTGAGCATCGTCGGCTTCGGCAAAAGCACTCGGCGCGGAAATGTTTGCCGCCATCGGTTGCAGGGATGAGCGTTGCCGGATAGTCCCTGCTCTACCCCACATTTGCCGGCGTTCACTCGAACGCCGACGGGTTGATCGAGAGAGGAGAGAAGGACCTTTAACCGCTGTGCGACTGCTTACAACGGAGGTTTTGTCGAGCACTTTCTTGTCCTCGAGTACCCTCGTGGAGCCGTGGAGCCGCTGTTGGTATTGCTGCTGGGTTCATGGATTGTTGAATCATACTATAGAAGAATCCGAAGTTCATGTACTCCGTAGTAGATCGAGTGATGGAAGAGATGTATGAAGTATGTATACAGCGGAACACGGGCATTACAGAGTATTAGGTAGTAGTAGGAGGAAGCTGACAATGCTGCTATCCAATCCCAATTGTCCACGACAAACGTTGACCAAGTGCATGTAGCCAATTGATCAAATGCTATGTACGGAATGCTGCCGCCAAATGGATGAAAGAAATACTCCTCTGCCAAAGGATGCCGCCAATATACTATACAGGAAGATCCCTTGATGCCCAGACTGCGCAGCCTAATAGAATTACATGCGCAAGTCCAATCCCCAAGACAACCTGGCCGAACTCAGCATCAATCCTCGTCATCCTTGAAGGTATCAGAGAAGTCGATAAGAGAAGTAAAACTCTCCAGTTCCCCCTCCACCAACCCCAGCTCTTCGCGTTTAGCCTCGTCTCTCAGCCAAGAAATGGGGACCAGACCCGTCAATCCCGCGGCATTGCGGATGAGCTTCGTCTTCTCTTTCTTCGCAGACGGTTCGATTGCCAACGGTGCTTGAGATTCACTCTCGAAGACGGCATCCACGCGCTTATGCCGGTGCTCCAGAATGTCGACGTCGATCGTGCGCAGGGCTGCGAAGTGGTAGATGTGAACCTTCTTCTTCTGCCCATAGCGCCGACAGCGCGCTATGGCTTGAACCATCGACGAATCGTACTTATACTGGCTTTCTGCGAGGAGCGGAGCGGCAAAGATAACGTGATTTGCATTGACAAGGTTGCTGTGAGTTCTCGTCAGTTCCGTTGGTTAGCCAGCCGTTGAAGTAGCAACTTACACGCCAGATGCAGACTCGTCGTCAAGATTGAGAATCAAGACCTTCCTCCGCTTCTTAGGATCGGTCTGGTTCTTGAAGTCCTCCAGCACCCCTGCTGATGATCTCTTACTTCTAGTCACTGCATAGTAACTAATCCTGTGGTGCTCGAGTACTTCCTCCATTGCATCCAGGACCTCATCGTTGGGCACGAATACGATGGCTTGGTCCTGTTTCGGTAGTCCAAGTATAAGGTCGGCGATAGCATCCAGCTTCGCTCCAAAGCTCATCTCTCTTGATGCTCTTTGGCCCGATCTTAGAGAGGAAATTCTGACCAGATTCGTGCCGTGCACGTGGACATCGCAGTCGCTCCTCACGCAAGCTTCGCTATCTGCTCGGGCATCCAGACAGGACTGGCAAGCTAGATGTCCGCAATCAGACACCAGAAAGAGCTCGGCAGGTTCCGTGCCCGGACAATTGGGTGAGGCACATTGGCGAGTTCCACTGTCGCTCGATTCTCCCATCGTCAGTACTGGGAGGAGAGAGTTGATCGTGTCAATAAACCTCAGTGATCTCATGCGCAGAGTCAGCTCTTTAGAAAGTACGCCCAGATTCGAGGTTAGCCGCTTGAAATCTACCGTAGATCCCTTCTTTTTGCCCTCGCTTCCAGCCTTCAACAGGTCACGGACCTCCTGATCCGCCTCCCCGTCACCAAGCACATTCTCGCCTGACAGGACAGCTAGTTTGAAGCTTTGATAAGGCTCATTGCCCTCTTGTCTCCGCGCGTTTTCTGCCTTAGCGATCCATCCGAGGATCTCCTCCTTAGTGTCAAGGATCTGTTCTTTACGCTTTGACAGAAGACTGCTCAAGCCGGACGCTGAACCACCCCGGGGTGTTGAACCAGCCTCTGTTTGGAAATGCAGAGCAGCTTTCAACAGTGCTTCTTCTGCCGTACTTGAGCCGTTGAGGCTAGCATGTAGCCTTTCAGTGCGGTCGGACTTGTCGTTCGCCTTGAGCTTCTTGACCATCATCTTCTGAGAGATCAAGTGCTGTGACAGTTCAAGATAAACAGACTGGTGAGCGATATCAAGCTCAATCGGACGGAGAACCTCGGCGCACTCGATATGACGGAGGCATGGCTCGTTCTGCCGGACAAACAGATTCAAGAACTCCTGCGCGCGTTGATGCCGCGCTTGATGCCACTGGTACGACATCACTTCGGTCTGGGATAGGAACTTTTCCACGTCGGTCTGGTCTTCCATGGCCCTACGCTCCATCTTGGTCATCTTCGGCCCAAATACATGCCGGCCTAATGTTGTCCCCAGCAAACTAGCGATTTGATTCACTTCGGCGAAGCTCCCCAGAGCAGGAGTGCCTGACAACAGCCAGCGTTTGCCAGCCGACATGCGCTTGATGGATGAGTAAGACGGATAGCTGTCTTTGTCCTGTTCGAGAAGATAGTGATACTCATCAACCACCAGGCGATCAAAGTTGAACATTTGCAAGACCGGTCCTTGGTACGACGACCACTCTGCGTCTTCCTTGTACACTGTTCGTTTCCTGGTGTGACTAGGAGCCGACTTGGTCTTCCCCGTAGTCTTTGCGCTTGACTGTAATCCTTTTTCTTTGTGAGATTGGTATGCACTTCCGTGCAGGACCTTCAGAGGCACGGTTGCCTGGAACTCTGGATTCTTAAGACGAGCCTTGAGTGCTTCATCCGTGTGGCTTTCGAAGTGGGCAGGTCCTTTTGAAGTGAGTTCTTGGACCCTACTAGGGATCTGTTCTGTGACGTAGTCCAACCATGCATCGAATGCACGACCTCGCGTTGTAGTCGGCTCTGGGACCGCCGTGAACTGTGCCAGCTGGGCGATGTATTGTTCGTCGGCTAGTACTCTCCAAGACAGAATAATAGCGCGAGATTCCCTAACGTCCTTAACTGACAGTTGCCGAAGTTGTTCGAAGGTTTCGATGAGGAGCACGTTGTAGAGTCTGTAATGCTTAGGTCTAAGGAATCTCTCAAACTCTGTTCGCCACTGCTTAACCAAATGCGCAGGGCAAACGATCAGTGTTGCAGCAACATCAATCAATGCTGGCGATTTGCTGGCCTCCTTGATGGCCAGACGAGTTTCGAAATAACTGTGGATGAGACCAATCGTAGTCACTGTCTTCCCAAAAGAAGGGAGATCTGCAAGGACACCTCCACGTACGGTCACCTCCGCCTGTGCTAATGCTTCAGCCCTCCAGCCGAGATCGTGGTTGACTTCTTCTTCAACTTCAGTCACTGTTAATGATTTTCCAAGTTCCTGATTACGCATCCATGCCAGGGACTTCTTTTGGGCGTCGACAAGTTCCAATTCGAGGCGGAGGGGTCCGTTATAGGGTTCATCTTCAGAATTGCTCGTCAAGTAAAACTTGTTGAAGGGTTCCCAAGCAGGATCGACGTGATTTGTTACAAGCCGCCATGCCGTGCGACAATTGTTGAGGCTCGACAGCCGGTTTCTTGCGCGGTGTACCAAGGTAGCGATGTTTAGGCCTATCTCAACGCGTGAGCCGTCTGAATCCGAGGCCGCCTTGATACTGAAGACTGGGGGTCTTGTCTTGAGGGCTCGCTCGAAATGGGCGGCTGCTTGCCGATCTTCCGCTGCTTTCGCGGCCCCATCCTCATTTACATGCCAAAGGGTGCGTGGTGGCTGTGGCGCGCAGGTACATGCGATACGTGGACATGTTGCGTCATATGCATTCCAGGTGTGCAAGGTTGGCCTTCGTCTGGCATGCTCCAAGATCCAGGAGTAGCCCAAATAGTCTCGAGTATCTACGGGTGTCGTCGCTTCAACATCGAGTACGGTGATTGCATGGCCGCAATCCCCATGGCAACATGTCGATATCTCAGCGGCTGAAGGCACACGCGCGATTACTGGCGAGGCAGGTGTCGATAACTTGATAGTTGCGGGCCGCCAGGTTCCTGGTATATCGATCTTAATCTGCGTGCTCTTTTCATTTCCAGACTCCAAGTTCCAAGGCCGCCAATTTGAAGAAAGCTGCGCCGAAATAATACGGTGATCCTCAAAGGCAATGCGGCGATGAGTCTCGGAAAAAACAAATGAATCCTTTTCATTAGGGCCGATTGGGTCAGGATCCAGGAAAAGGTACAGCGGTTTCCCGAACGACCGCTTGTAGAGGCTAGACATGGCGGATGAGCAATGGGGTAGCAATTCATACGTACCGCAGAGACGCTTAGCAACAGCCTCATTGTGGGAGGATTGGACCTCAATGCGTATTGGAACAGTCTCGTCGCGGTAAGCCAGAAGTCCAAGTCGGCTTCTCCAAGAACTTCGTCTATCAGAGGATCCGGTGAGCGTCAATGTAGAGCTTCTTTGGGCGGGAATAAACACCTCCCACTCTACATCAAGCATAGTACCCTTAGCTATTCCTCTAGCTAGTGGGTTTTTGCACAACATCCGCAATTCGCTCTTGCTACTCTCTGAACGGGGACTGTTAACATAGAGAAACCATTTCACTTGGTTCCCAATCTCAAGCTCCAGCCGGGCATTTGTGACCGAGCGATAGACAATAGTCCAATGCTGCTCTTTTCTTTGGAATGTCGACATGAAGAACGGATTCGATGGCTTTGTTTCTGAAACCACTATGGCCGTCCATTTTGCCACATGAGCGGCCTTCCCTAACTGGCGGAAGGCATGCGAGAGGTCCTCAAATTGGTCCAGATGTAGTTGCGCGGGTAGTCGTGGTCTCCACTTATTCTCAAAATCGTTTGGTGGAATTCGAATGTCCCGCGGCATCGTGTTGGCATAGGCATGTTTCGGATTTCCTGCGCAGGAGGAGCATGCACTGTGGCCACAGGATCCGCAAATCTGGATAGCAGTCTGTGAGACATGTTTGGCTCCCTCGCACTGACAAAGCCGCGCACTGTTTCGCGCATCATCAAGAAGCTCATCGAGATCCAAATCTCCCAGATTCGGTGGAAGTATGGTGATTTCTTCGGCTGATCCCGGAGCGACAAGGCGTGACTCTGGTTCGGGACCAGAGACTGAAGCTGATTGTTGGACTATCCCTTGCCTGAACGACGTGTGGCTGCTGATTAGAGCAGCTATGATTGATGCGCCGATGACAGTAGTTGACATAGCATTTCCAGCGAGATCTTGCCTGTCCTTTTGCGTTTCCCTGGCAAAGAGGAGTTTGTCTTCGGGCATTCCTTGTAAGATAAGTAATTGACTCCCAGATAGGGCGGTCTGCTTGTTGGTGACAAAGTCACACCCGCTTGGTGTGATGCACGGCACGATTCCATAGCTACCGTGAAACCGATCAACATTTTGTGAGACATCCCAAATCAACATCTTGTAGAGTGCATCATAGCCAGCAGCGGCGCCTTGCAGATATGCTACATCAATAGCATCGTAGACGCGCGTTGACTGCGAGTGATACCATTTGCGATTGGCGATATCGGGGGGTCTCACACTGCCGTTTTCGCTCCATTGTGTGACAGGTCGTCTTGTTCCTAGCCTTTCTTCTGCTCGAATCTGGTCGTACCTCAGTTTACACAGAGCCCATTCGACTTCAGAGGTGCGAGCTGCGTAAGTCTCTGCGTCAAGGTCATCTTTCAGGAACGACTCGAACGGACTGCTGCACTGGCGCTCGAGGCCTTGAATGAGCTCCAGCCATCGCTTTGCCGCCGCACCGACACCATTGCCGTATTGGTGCTTGTCAATAGCCACCATGTACATCCTTTTGCGAGTTTGTGGCAAGTAATAATTCTTCGTGTCTCGGTAGAGCCATGCACATTCGTAGCCAATGGCATGCCATCTCTCCTTGAAGCCGTTCCAGAAAGTTGTTGTACTCGCGACGTTTTCAACAAGTACAACGCTAGGCCTGAACTTCTCAGCGTAGGCACGTACCGCTGCCCAAGTATCACCCGATTCGCCTCCATCTTCCAAAGATCGCTGGTGGTTATTCAGTCGCGACAAGTCTTTGCAGACGAAGCCGACGACAAGGATGTCGAGAAGTCGCGGAATTTCCACTTCTGCGCCATATGCCGTGACAGCGGATTCCGCATCCTTCGAAAATTCCCTCACATCTCGAAACAGGTATTTTGGTTGGAAGTTTCGTTCAATGTAAGCTTGCTTGATAGCGTCAATCTCGGCACTGAAATGATGGACGAACTGAATAGGGTCTTTCCCCATTTTCACAAGGGCTTTTGAAAGGAGCTGCAACGCTATAAGCGGTGCCTCTGTCCCCGAACACATCGTAGCGACATTTATAGGGCGGCCTATATCCTTCAAGGCTGACGCAAGTCCAAGTTTCAGGGCTTTTGACGCCATATCCTCAAATATCTCTTCGATATTGTGGAGAGGCGGAAGGTTCAGATCAATGCCTTTCCCAGCCCCTACCTTCCTGGATGATTGCGATTTCGCGGTCTGCATCTTCTTCTTCAGAAAATCCCAGTTCGGCCTGCTCTTCACTGGGGCTAAGATATCCTCGTCCGTGAGAACTTCATCCATAGAAATATCTTCAGAAGATGCTGTACCGGAGACGGAAGCCAGGTCATGGTCCATTGATGATTCTGTTTCTGTTGAGTTTGTGCTCGAGAAATTTGACAAACTGGATTGTCCGTCGCTTGAGAGATTGTCATCGACTTCCGAAGAATCATCGATGGCCACGGGTTCAACATACGAGGCGCGACCCGTGGACCGTCGCGGCCTCGAGAGACCCGGCTCAGAGGCTTCCGTGATCGTCTTGCGGTCCGCTCGTTGTGATGCGGGAGACTCGTCAGGACTGCTGAGGGAGGACTTTCGTGCTGTCCGTTTGCTTGGTAAAGGATCACTGCCTGATTCTGCGCGAGCAGGGTTCTGTTCTTGTTCGCTTGAGACATCATTTTCGTCCGCTGATACCCGTATGCCAGCGGATGCCGAAGAACTCACGTTCCGAACACCCACCCCATCGAACTGGCGATCCGGTCCCGTAGGTCGAAGCTCCAAGCCCAGATTCTTCCAAACGGGTAACTGCGCGGCGCTCGACTGCCTGGGTTGAGGGGTCATATTGCTTGTAGCGACTTCGACGCGATGCGACCGCTTGGGCTGCCCCAGAGAACGAGGAGCATGATCAGAAGATTCTTCTGGAGAGGAACCGACGAGATTCCGCGTAAAGTGAGCCGATATGGTGCCCTTACTCTTAGTGTTGTTTTTCGGTGTCGTTGCTTTTTTCCGCACGGGGCTGGTGGACTTTCGTAACGGTGATTTTGGAGGAGCTCTGCGTTTGCTCGTTCCTTTCAACGGGGTTAACGATGAATGGTCAATCTTCTTCACTGGAACTGTGCATACAGTCAGTGCGACTGGCGAGGTAAAGGTACAAGGGTCCAAGCCCAATAAACTTACTTGCAACGGCTTTTAAGGTCAACAAGCGCTGTCGCTTTGCAGGCGGCTGAGCATTAGCCTTTGGGGAAGTGTCACTCAAGGGCGTGAGGATAGGATCGTCCGTCCTAGACGTATTTTCCTTGAGCCTTTGCAAAGTCGGACTGGCATCCTCCGGGCGCGGCTCATCCTCGCGCTTCCTTTTGCCAGTGCTTCCCAGGCTGGAGAAGAACCGGGTGATTTTATGCATACTGATCGCTGAAGTGATAGAAGAAGCATAACAGACAGGGCAGTGAACCAAGAGGTGAGAGAAGAAGGTGGTGTTGGTTCGGCGTCCCTAAACCAGGATGCTGTGGAAAGCATGGATGGGGGGACGCGTCGTGGGAGAGTGTACGCGTCGGGACGCTAGACTGCATCTGATCGAAGGCTTGGCGCCACCCTCCAGAGGCGGCAGAGCGCAAAGTATCGTGTCAGGACGAGACGGCCTGGCTTCAATTGACCAAGAAAGGAAAACGGATTTACTCAATGAATGCCCTCCGCGATCCAGAGCTCGCCGGTATTCCACAGTAGGTATCGTGGGTGAAAAGAGAAGCTCCGCCCTTCCCGTCTGGGAAACTCAGCCGCCGCATCCAGCTTCCCCATTCGAGTTCGAGAGTTTTAGTTTTAGGGCGGTGTGATATATTTATATATATATACATCTCGAAATGGGTATAAACAGTGGAGAAGTCGCTCTCACAATATGCACCGAACTGCTGAATACTCTCTCACTCCGTGACAATGGCATCCCACCCCACCACCACCTTCGAAGACCTGAGCGGCATCTCCACCGCCTCCTTCACCGACCCCTACGACGCCCTACTATCCGCCTGTAACAATAATCCCGTACCACCTCTCCACCACACCTCGCTTCTCCAAAACCTCCCCTCCTAACAAATTCCCAGGAAGAGATAGAAACCCGCTACGCACTCCACCGCACCACACGCAACGCCCAACAAAAAGGCAAACTCCTCTCCAACGACTTTCCAGGCGTCAACATCGACCCGATCCTCCTCCGCTTGACCGACCAGACCATTGAACCTGGCTATGTCGACCCCCGACACTGTCTCGTCTTCTGGGCACGCCCTCCCCAGCACATCAAAGGCTTGATTGGCAAGATCCAGAAGGAGTTATTGACCGTTGCACCAAGTACATCCTCCCAAACCTCAATCCCATACTCATGCAGTGTAAACTAACAAATTTCCCCCAAGACCTCTGGCCCATGCCCCTTCCCAACCTGCACATGACCGTCCTCGAAATCACGCACTCCAGAACCGCCCCCGAAATCTCCGCCCTCGTCTCCAAGCTAACACCCTCCCTTCCCCCCATCTGCTCTCACACCCTCACTCACCGCGCCCTTCTCATCAAGCCCCTCGTCAGCTACGACGCCTCGGCTCTAGCTCTGTCTTTCGTGCCTGCTTCAAAAGCGCCATCACCATCCTCATCATCCAAGAAACTAACCTCCGAGGATGGTATTGAAAATGGAGACGAAAATGCCATCCAGACTGCACCAGAGTATTCATACCACCATCTGCGCCGCGACATCTACGCCCTCTGCACCGAAGCTGGCATGAGCGTCGATTCGAGATACGTCGTCCCGTCCGCTCATCTGACCATCGGACGCTTCATCACCGGCAAAGATTTCCAAGACGAGCAGGGAAATCCTTCGTCGGAGAAATTGGAAGCCTTTATCAACAAGATCGACGAGATCAACGCGTGGTTGGAGAAGGAGTATTGGCCCAGTGAGGATGAAGCAGCGGAAGTTGCAGCTGGTGGAGAATGGTGGGTGGGGGAGGAGAAGGGCTTGGTTTGTCGGGAAGGGAGGCTATGGTATGGGGACGGAGAGACCGTGTATCTTGGTGAAGGGTATGAGGTTCAGAGGTGATTGCCCGGTTATACAACACGACGGGTTCATTCCAAGAAGATCATAGATTTCGAATGCCATAGACGAAGTATGAGGGAGCAGAAAACCAGTGCTGGAGTGAGTAGAGTACTTTTAGGGTATCAACGACAAGCGCTTTCCGCTACATCACACACAAAACCCGCGGGATGCACCCCCTCAAGATTCCCAAGATGCAATTCCCATTAGCCTGTGTGTGGATAATCATAGCATCGCTAGTGTCGCCATCAGGGAGGCTAGCCTTGGCCGGCCGAGCATGCTTTTGGGGAACGAAGAAGCCCGATTGCATAGACCCAGACGTACATGAAAACATGACCGCATATGCCCAGATAGAAGGAAGTCTCTGCGCCTCCTTTGCCTTTAGAATAGCCCACGCCAGTTTGTCATGCCGCCCACCGTCTATTTCTCCTCGGTCTCGCCCGCCAACTCGGCCCTCTTCTGCTCCTTGCGCTCCAATCTCCTCTCCCTCGCGGCCTTCGTCTTCGCACGCTTGGCGTCCATCTCCTCCTTCAGGACCCTCTCGCGGGCCTTCTCAGCCTTGGCCTTGTGGATCTAGACGGAACAAGTCAGTCAGGCTTGGGTCTGCAGATTCCATGATGAAACATACGTGTTCAACGAGAGCACGCTTGTGCTTGAAGGTGTTACCCTTGCTGAGGTGGTAGAGCTCGTGGTAGAGATGCTTGTCGATCTTGCCGGCGGCGCGGTACTTGACGAGAAGGCGACGGAGGACACGGAGACGGCGCATCCAGAGGACTTGGCTGTTGAGACCCGTATCAGCAAACCATTCGCAAATCACAGCTAACGTTTCCCGCTACGGAGGGAAACGCAAAGCCCACTCCGATTCATCCTCCTGCGTCCTCTGGCTGCGTACCTTGGCATACGGGCATCCTTGGTACCCTTCCTCTTACCGAAACCTCGGTGGCGACCCTCGCGGCGGGCGAGGTTCAGGGCTCGGGCACGGGCACGCGAGTGCATCGTAACGGGCTTCCGGATGATGAGGCCATCGGCGACGAGCTTGCGGATGGTTTGGCGGGAGTTGGCGTTGGAGATCTCGTTGACCTCATTGGGATCGAGCCAGATCTTGCGCTTTCCGCAGCCGACCACGGACGCCGCAAGGCGCTTCTGCGTGCGGAGATTGACCCTAGAAGATGAACCATCAGCGTGCGATCCTTTCCTGTGCGTCCTTGAACGTAGGAGGGTGCGTGTTGTGCGTGCAAAGGAGGGGTTTCGCCACGCTCCTGCTGCCCGAGCGACAGCGCTGGCAGAACTGCGTGTCCGTGGTATTGAGGGAAAGCGGCGTTCGGGAATTGGGAGGACGAAATGAAGTCGCGATGCTTACATTGTGGAAAGCTGTGGGTGGTGTTGGTTAGTAGTCTCCGGTCGGGGAGGGAAGTGAGAAAATGAGATGTTGAGGTCTTGTGTGGGCAGTCAAAATCGGCTAGCCCGCTTACACACTAGCGCCGACACACTCCGCCCGCCAAGCCACTCCGTCAATGACTCCAGATGACTCGACTCTACTTAGGTAGATGACCCGGAAGAGTAACGTCACCAGTCAACAGAGCGGCAAATGTGGGCAATCTTATGAATTCGACGGTAGTCTTGTATTTGTTACTGTACACCTACCTATTGTAGCTTCAAATCGTCCTCATTCAGAACCCCATACAGATTCTCAATCTCCTGCCCTATAATGGCTAGGTCGTGTGCCAATTGACCCGTCACAAGCGCTACACCCGCATGTTAGTCTAAGGGCCTCAAGGGAAAAGGGTCTATCGCCTCACCATATGCGTACAGCAACTCATAGTCTTCAGCTGTTGCAACCACCTTTCCCAGGCCCGTTCTGCGGAACTCAAAAACCTTCACCAATAAGCGATCACGTGTGTGCTCGACATTTGGCAGGACATCGTTCATGGGAAATGCCATCTTCATCGAAGACGCCATCACTGCGATGGTTAGTAACGTAAGAGAGTACGGTGAGACGGACCTACCTGAAAACAAGTGACTGATGCGCCAACTGAACTCCAGCCACTCCTTCTTCGTATACTGTAAAATCTCCTTCTCGCCTTCAGTGGCGTTGACATGCTTCAAGATGATTACATTCATAGCGTGAAAGCTATCCAATAGCCGCTCCGTAGCCTCCAGGATTGTCTTGTAGCTCTTATCCGGGAAAGGCCCCTTAAGCCTGAACTCAAAAGTGGCAGCATCGCGAAGAGTGTCGAGGTAAGTCCAGAATCTGCGCAGCTCTGCCTCCTCCTTGAAGGTCATGAAACCAACAGCGGAAGTTGGATTCTCCAAAGCCGCACAAAGTGGTCCTCGTTTCCAGACCAAACCCATCTTCAGCCAGAGCAGCGACAGCCCCTGCTTGACCCTCCGTCTCGCGGAGATGGGCCAGATCAGTCGCGTGACGATGAGACCCCACACACAGCCAGTCATGACGGCGACAACACGATGGGTGACGATTCCCCATATCTCGGGGGATATCCCACCTTCATCGTCATCATGGTCATCGTCTTGCACAGACAACGAGTAAGCGTACAGCGCCGAAAGGTTGTACGTTAGCAGAATGAACCTGCCCATAGGTCCTTTACCCTTGCCAACGATGATGTAGAAGCACTGGAGAGATATGAGCCAGCCAAGGACACCAAGCACAACCGCGTGGTCGTCAGCAATGATCCAGCAAATAATGGCATAAACGGCGCCAAGGCATGTTCCAAAGAATCGGTGTAGACCCGTAGTGTTTGAAGCTCCGATGGTCTGAAGTTTAAGTAAGCCGCAGCATCGGAACGAAAGGGTTTCGACTGACCATGGAGCAGACCAACATGTATGACAAGAGTCCCCATTCCCCACGCCAATGGCTGTAGTACACCCTCGTAGAAGGAATAAACGACCATATAGCATATAACATGGCGCCTATACCGACCTTCGCTGCGTACTTGATATCATCTCTCCGAAGAAGGTGAAGAGCTACCCAAATGCGATATGACAGACGCTGGCCGGTTGTCTTCCTTCTACTTTCCTGGATATCCGGTACCCGTTGTATAGGGTTATGGACTTCATGTGACAACTCGTGCTCGATGCTCTCATCGGTAGGACTCGACTCCTCTGGTTGCTGTTAGTCTAGTTCGAGAACCTACGGAGTTCGACCGTCATGTTGTTACCTGAATCCGTGACTCTCTCCTTCGGCCCAGTCCACCTCCTCCAGAACTTCAACCAATTCCATGATCTCCGTCTCGGATACCTCGTCTGCTTCAACTCCTCCAGAAGATCCAAGAACTTCACCATGTCCTCTGCGAAATCCTGCAGCGAAGAGCTGAAGTATCCGCAACTCGCTGCCACTTCTTCAAAGTCGGCAGCAACTTCAACAGAGTTCATCCTCTGCGGTACCTTCTGGCTGTATACCGCGGCGAGCGCGTCTTTGCTGGCGTTCGCGAAGAGCGTGTTGGCTTCTATGAGGCTGGTGCGGAAATGTTCGTTGATCATCATGGCATATTCAGGGCCTGGTCCAAAGGGGAGTTCATCGAGGACTTCGCGCAGGGTATATGCGAGTGATTTCTACGTGTGTTAGCAACGATGCTGTTGCAGCTGAGGAATCCTACCATTGGTGGCCCCAAGTGAGCTATGAATATAGAGAACATATCCGATGCCTTTAAATTTGTCTCCATCCCCTGCGGCAGCCTCCAAGAACCGCTCATTCTCAGCGACTCGTCATCGGACACTTCGCCTGGACTCTCTGGAAGTTCTTCTATAGATGCAAGTATGCTACTTCTTCTTTCTACATGGCTGAGAGTGGGGGAGATGTGAGGGGATGTTGTGTGGTCCGAATAGTGCGCTGGATTAGCTCTCCTCGGGCCTGAGATCTCTCCTCCCGTCCCACAGGCACTTTGCTCAGACTGTACTAGCAGGGTGAACTGCGTCTCCGCAGCACTGCGCAGGCCACCGATGTTCTGGAGCAATAGTTCCAGACACTTCACCAGACGAGCTTCGACCTTGTATTCCTTTTCTGTACCGAGCAGATAATGCTCGTATTTCGCCTCTCCGAGGTTCTTCACCAGCGTCTTGAAAGTCGCCCTACTCTGACCCGACGCTTTGATGAAATCCGTATCCTTCAAATCCTGCTCCGAGCCGGACAAGAAGCTCCGCGTGATGATCGTCAGTTGCTCCCCGAGCGCGTCCGTAGCCTTGATGTACGTGTCTCTGAACTCTGTGCGCGCCCACTTCGGCCGTATGAGTAGCGACACGGCAGTGGACGCCGATGTGCCCATTATCACCATCTTCAACACCTGCCACACTTTGTTGTACGAGAACGTTGCTGCTTGCACAGCACCCTCCTTGGTAAGCACCGTGATGAGAACGAGCGAAGCCAGCGAGCAAGCAACATTCACAAGCGGATTACCCAGGCGCTGCTTCGTCCATCCGACGAGCCCCAGCCCACCGCCGCAAAACACAACAAGGACGATTATGTGGCCGACGACGAGAAGATTCCGGTCGCCGAAGAGGGCAGATACAGCCATGCTCGAGAAAGAGATTATCGCAGCATATATGACGGCTCCGAAGGCAAGCAATATAGCTTGCGCCATACTCCCAGCCGAGCGTGCAGGGTGGAAGTACACGGTGACCGTCGCGACCATATGCTTTCCGTCATTTCTGCCCAGCAGGCCTGATATTGGTGGAACGAAGGTCGCCAAACTTCCGAGTACGTAGGCTATTGAGCATTTGAGTATATCTATGCCCGTGGGCGATACAGCGAACGCATAGGCGCGCTTGACGCCATGCCGAAGCTTCTCTTGCACACCTCCGTCGCCATGTCTGCTTGAATTGACACGGCCGGGTCCTAGAAGCGGTTCGGTAGAGCCGTTCGAAAGGGTCGAGCCTCGCCGGAGGGTGAATGTTTTTCGGACTCGTTCGCCAGTCCGCGGTAATATTAGGGTTGCTGATCGCAGCTGTGGTCATGGCTCATGTTAGCTGGCGGATAGTGCTTTTGAAAGAAAGGGCATACGCGAGGGCGCAAAAAGCGACGTTCCGCCGGCGACTGCGGCGCACTCATGGTGCTGGCGGGTCAAAATGAGTCGGCATCGCCAATGCTACGCGATGTTTGTTTTTGGAAACAAGATGCTTCCGCGTCTCGAGCTTGGATGTGCGAGAGCGATGACGATCTGCCAAGGACAAAGAGCCTCAACTTCCACAGATCTAACGTATTAGGTCAGCAAGTGCACGTTCCCACCAAATGCACGATTTCAGCATAATCGCCACCCACAAAGATGAGGCTGTAGAGCTCAATATATATTGTAAAATCGCCAGATTTTTTGTAGTAATAATTGGAGAAGCTTGCCAAGTAATTCTAGCACCTAATTAGCTACTGAAACCGCTGGGGCAGGCGTATTTTGCGGGTACGCGTTGAAGGGCCCAAATTGGGCACCCCATCTTCAACAGGCAATATCTCAGGCTGTACATGCTCAATGTCCTTCGTGCTTGACCTAGTAGGCTTGAGGCTTTTCTGATTACCCTTTTGGGAAGCTTTGAGCTCCTCACGGAGTTGTTTTTCAATTGCCC